AAATCCAAGCCAAAAAAACGTACTTGTAGCGTACTTTGACAGTGTGATCTAGTCAGCGCAGAGCAATGAGAGAGAACTGCGAAAATAGAAGCCGAGACACCACATTTGTCAACGGGACTGTCTCCACCATGAAATGCTGCGGCAATTTGCGATGTTGTCAAACTTAAATGATCTGGAAATGGGTACTCTCGGCGATCCACGATCATCTTCCCGAGACACTGAGACATGGCAATCTATGTCGGTGTTTACTGTTCTTTTAAGGGTAAAATGGGAAGGCAAACGGAAGGATTGCCAGGCGTTTGTGCTGTTTTTCTCCAGTTTAGAATTGCTACATTTTCAGAAGTGATTCTAAAACACTTGACAGCTAATTTCGAAAACAAGTCCTATAGCTGTAAATCTCATACTTTATTGAGCAGATGCAAATGCGCTTGCGCCAATCAGGACCCAGACTGGGTTCCCACATTCATTCTACATCCAAATGTTCGTTGTTCTGAAACTGAAAATTCATAACATAAATGGAACTAATTTCTGGACCCGGTAAGGCGGGACATGCACCGACATGGCACCCCAGTTCATTTATAGCACATGCTTACGATCAATCCGGTGGAAGTTCATCCCCGGGAACAAATTAACCCTAAACCCTAAACCTTGAAGTTCATCCAAGGGCACAAACTAGGACATTAATCAGGCTTTAAAATATATTTTCAATGAAATTTTGCAAAAAACGATATGACCTAATTTTTCTGGTTTTTTTTAAAAAAATTTACGACTCTTTAATATCTATTTGATAATCCTTGTAACATTGTAATCAATCTAATTATTTAGTAAATTTATTATTAATCTATTTACTAGCAACATTTGTTTTATATGAAAAAAAAAATGAAAAATTGGAAGTTCTTAAAAAAAATAGATGCATTTTGATTTATTTTTTTTTACTTTGATCTTATATACCAAATATATTCAATATTTATCACTAGAGAAATAATAATTAAAAGAATGTAAAACATGCTTTGGTTTAAAACATTATCTTGTATATTTTTAAATTTAATTATTTTTTTAAAATTTAAAAGACATCAAATCATAACTAACCAAATATATCTAAATATTAAAACATTATACAATGAACATCTAAAGCAACAAAACAAGTTTTTATATTACAAAAACGTAGAATTTAAGTTGTACAGATTATGATAAAAAATGAAAAATAAAAAAATAAAAAAATAAAAAACTTTACATATTATATATTATTTAGTATGTAGATATTTAATTTAGAAATAAATAATAAAAAAAAACATTATATGATATTAAAAAAATGTATAATAAATTGGAGAGATAATATCTTAGTTAGTCCTATCAATTCTTAAATAGATTTATAGAACATTTTATAACTAATTTATTTAAAATTTATTTATATAAATTTTTTGTTATAGACACTTATACTACTTAAGTGAATATATATATATATATATATATATATGTACAAGCAAGTTGAAGTTGGTAGAAATAGGTTTGGTAGATAACATCTTTAAGAAATTTTAATAAAGTTTTTTTAAATTTAGATTAGATCCATATTTTTTAATAGGCATGCCACATGTTTTTTTTTAAAAAAAAATTGTACGTTTCTAACCTTTAAGGAGCTACTGGAAAAAAAACTTATATATATATGCTCAAATAAATAAATCAAATCTTTATCAATCAATTTCAATTTATATTCATTCAGTCACATAAACTTGGTGCAACTAATAAATCTAATGTCGTTGGTATTCTTAGATTATCTTAAACAATCATAGTTAAATCAATAAAGATTTTTAAAATTTAAATACCTTTTTCTTACATAAATTTATTTTAGACAAATAAATTTACAGAAAATATTATATAGTTTATTTTGTAAAAACAAATCAAACGAAACTAATAAAATCATAATATATATATATATATATAAGATCCAAATTGTACAAGTAAATAACAAGAAGAGATTTAACATTCACAATCACAAATGTCTTCAAATTTGGTGTACCTTTCTAATGTAAAATATTACATTAGTTTTATGAACTGTATGTATTAAAATTATATATTAATTAAATCTATAAAAATCTATAAAATTAAATATATTATAAAAGTAGTAACAATAATGATTATTATTTTAATAATTCTGAATTCCTAAATTAATTCATATATTTGATGTATTTTTTGTTGGTTTAATGATTTTTTAAAATATAAATAGTGAAAACCTGACGTATTTGATTAATATTAGTTATTCTATATGGGAATATTTCAGAAGAAGAGATGCCATTCAAATAAGGTCATGTAAGTTATTTTTATTATCATCTATTAAGAAAGTGTATGTTTCATATCTAATAATTTCAAGAGTATCCTTTAGTTTTTTTTAATGATTTGAAAAAGAAGAAAAGTTGACAATTTGTATTAAATAAATCTTTGCTCTAGTTTTTTTACCAATTCAATTTTTAAAAAATATAATATAATATAATAAATTAATTATGCTAATTTCCACTGGAAATTAAATACATTACATTGCCAACTTTTAATAAATTTTAAAATTTGATTTTTAAGATTAGAAGTGAACCTTGAATTATTGTAGTTAGTTTTTCTTTTTATGGATTTTTTTTGTGGAAATTATTTATTTTTTATATTTTTAACAGAAAATTTTATTTCAAAAATAAATTAAAGAAAAGTGTTCATTTTTTTTTAAAAAAGAAACACATAGTTTTACATAAGTAATATTAGAAAGAAAATATGTTATTTCAAAATAAAGGAACTAGTTATTTGTCCCTTTGTTCAAATGGTTTTGAAATAATTGTTTAAAATCACTCTTAAAGCAAAGATGCTCTATTATACTAAAAAAATCAATTAAAAAATCGATTGTATTGTTTTTATTCTTTGTGTATATATACAGAGAGCGAAAGAGAGATTATTATAAAAAACAAATTATATGTATATAAAGATAGAAACAAGTTTAGCATCTCAATTCTACTCTTTTATAAATGTATAAATAATCTTGAATATTTTGAAGACAAGCCACGCCTTCCATCTTTATATGAAAGGAAGAAAATATAATAAAATAATAATAAAAAAAAAAAACTATCACAAGGATAAAAAAAATTCTTTTGTATTATGAAAATAGTAATATCAAGAACATAAAATTTAAAAATAATACATTTAATAATAAATTAATATGTAGTAATTTCATTAATGTAAAAATTTATTCATTAATTTTCTTTTATATTTCTTTTTTCTTTTTTCTTTTTCTTAAGGTACATCAAACGATTGGTTTCATCATAAAAATTTAACTTAAAACAAAGTGCCTATTTTATATATTTTTCTACCATTAAAAATATGCTTAATTTAGTTACTATATATTCTTTGCAAAATATAGTGGCAATAATAGGTTTCATGTCCTACTAGGGCTGTCATAAAATATTATATACAACCTAGGTATTTGAATATTGTGTGAAGAGGCTTAGTTATGATACTTTTGCTAGTTTTTTAAAATAAATTATTTTTCTATGTAATTATTGATTCACATCATACAAAAATTACATGTTGTAATGACAAATGAATGTAATAAGATACGTTTGAGGCATGAATCTAGACAATTTTGCAAAATAATAATAACATAGTTTTCATGTTAGGTAGAAAGTAGATAAATATATTAGTTTTTACATTAAATCACAAGTTATACAATAATAATAATAATAATTAATTAATCAAAGGTGTAAAAATACTATATATATATATATATATATATATATACATTGATTTTGCAGATGTGATCTTGGATTAAGATTTTTCTTTGCAAATTGTTTGATTTGCGAGATTGAAGGGGACTAAAATTTTGATTTATAAGATATAAGAAGATTATTGATATTATATATATATATATATATATATAAACAAAAATTGATGTAAAATAGTTTTTCTTCTTGATTTGGTAGTAATGTAATTGTGATGGAACTAAAAAGTTTATTAGACCTAAAATAAATAGCATAGCAATACTTCCATTGAAAAGAATAATAAATAATATTTAGAATCAAATGGCATATTAATATATATTTCCTTATATTATAGAGATTATACTTATGGCACTTATATGTGACATTGTGATCTTAAAATGACCTAAATATTTGCTTAACCTCCATCTTTTTATTCTTATTTTGATTTGTAATTACTATTGAAAAATCCAACTAATAATTAAAATCTATGTTATAAGAAAAATAATGTAAATTAGCAAATTGATATTAAAAATAATGAATATTTTTATTATTTAAAAGACATACCAATTAACACTCTTATATAGCTTAGAATGAGAAAACATAAATTTTATTAGAAATAATGTTAGTTTTAATCATCTATATTAACATTAAAATATATCAAACTACAATATATAAGACATTGATGTGCTAATGTTTAAATGACATTTACAATCTGCTTTAAGTGATTATTAAATTTTTGTTGTTTTCTATATTGTTTTCAGCCAAGTCTACTCTCATAGGTATTTCTATATTCTAATTACTATAATAATTAGCTGTATTGAATCTAATATGAGGTGTTAGTATTTAAGAGAAAATTATGTTTTTTTGTAAGAGACTTACCAACACTTACTTAAATACTACCATGGTTTAATTTTAATGTGTATACAAAAATATTGCCTTGTGCACAATCTATTTTTTGTAAGTTTTAGATTACACAATTTCCAAATTGCAATTCAAAATAATCATTTTACTATCACACAAATCCATTCTTGAATATTTTTTTTTCTAATAATTTTAACATTACTTTTCAATAACCAATGCATTTTTTATTTTATTTTAATTTTTTTTTCAGCTCTCCATACTTGATTACACCTGTTACAATCACATTTTGTCATACAGATCATATGTAATTCTTTAACTCTGAACTTAGTAAATTTACAGAGAAAGCACAAGACAACAATGAAGAATAGCCATACACATCAATGTAAACAACACAGAGAGCTGAGTGGATGTTTCCAGGGACAAGAATTATTTTGATTAGAAACGAAGAAACTAAAAATCATAGTGTCAGAATTCGGAGGTGCCAAACCCATACGAGAAACAGAACTCTCACTAAGCCCTAAAACTTGGTCTTTTGCACGATGTTACAATTATTTTTTTAGTGTTTCGCGTGTGTTAATCACGGTCTGGCGCAGCGAAGCGGCATTACACAATTCCCAGTTAGGGTTTTCACAGTTGCGCTGCGCCACGGAAACATCCGTCGAACATCGACGAGTCTACTGCTGAAATTGATTCTACACGCAGAGGGGACAAATTGTGGGTAGCGAGTTTTTCTACCCAAATTGCATCCAATCGCACCAAGGATCGGAAAGATGTTGAGATTGTCGCCGAATCAGAGCGATCTCGAAGGCGCTTCATGGATTGCAGGTCATAAGCTACCTCGAGGAGTGTGAGATTGGGCGAATTCTAATAGAATTGTTGTGAGATTTGGTGCTCATCTGTTTTCGTGTGATGGGGTCCAATTCGATAGCGAGGGGGTATGAGTCAGTGCATTGATTGGCAATGGCGGCGGTGGAGCACCGCCTGGGGGTGTGATCGGAGGAGATGGTATCATGGTGATTCCGGGCACCTCCTGCCGGATTTCTTCGTTTCTTCTGTGCGTGCTCGGACTGCTTCGCCACCTCATTGATCCGGCCCTGCTACCTGCTTCCGTTCTCGCCTTGATGCGATTCAGATCCTTCAGCACTGCGTTGATGTAGGGCCGCTCTTCTGGGTTGTCGCGTGTGCACATGAGCGCCACGCCTACTACCATCGATATCTTCTGGTCCTTCTCCTCATATTGTTCCTTGAGGATCTTATCGAGGACGTTCGGGAGCGTTTTGGAATCCGTCAGTGTTTCTCGTATCCATCGTGGCAAGGTTTGCCCATTTGCAAGAGATTGAGGACTCCGGCCAGAGATCATTTCCAGTAGGACGATGCCGAAGCTGTAGACGTCGCCCTTGATCGTGGGTCCTTCAGTTGAAACTTCTGCAGTTATAGAAATTTTCCGTAGTTAGTGAGATTTCTCTCCAAGTATGAATTGTTGTACATTTCGACTGTGGTATGAGTTTAAAGTTTGGGATTCTGTACCTGGAGCCACATAGCCACTGGCATAAGCTACCCGTCCAGCACCAACTCCTTGATCGCGCAATATCTTCGCGACACCAAAATCGCTAACCCTTGCTTCCATGAAGATGTTGAACAGAATGTTGCTCGGTTTCAAATCACCATGGACAGTAGGAGTAGGACACTCGTGGTGAAGGTAGTTCAGTCCTTCGGCTATAGTGATGGCTGCGTTTAAACGGAGATGCCAGTTGAACACTCTCCCGAATTGGTCATCACTCGTTGGGTACAACATATTGTTGAGCGTGCCATTTGGCATGTACTCCATTACGATTGCATTGATGTCAGGACTGCAGCAATAATTCAGCAGCTTGACGAGCGACCAGTGCCGCAGATGGCCGAGGCTTTCAAAGCCATTAGCTATTGCTTGTTCTACTTTCGTATTGATTTCGCTATTCTGGATGGCCAGGCTCTTCACCGCCACCACACTCTCGTCGGGGAGGATTGCTCTGTATACGGTGCCCAGGCTTCCAGCACCGAGCTTGTTCTGCTCGTTGAAATTTATAGTGAGGCGCATGATATCCTCTGGGGTGACCTGCGCTCCTAGCTCCACAGAAACATTTGGTGTGTCTTTTGCGATCGTTTTATTTTGTCGTAGCGATTTGTTGCAGCAATATACTGCAGTCCCAAACGCCACCACAAACGCTACTGCTGCTCCCACCAATATTGCAACCATGTTGTTCTTTCTGGAATTGGAGCGGTCCTCCTCTGATCGATTTCTACAAACTTTTATTAACACAAAGTTTCGCCCGCACACCTGGTTGTGGATGAAGCTGCTCGTATTCACACCGTCGTGCTCTTGAAAGAATGGAACATCTCCTCGCAAGTTGTTATGCGAAACGTTGAGATACAAAAGCGAGGGATAATCAACGAAATCGTCAGGAACTGGACCCGAGAGATTGTTGTAAGATGCGTCGAACACTCTGAGGGTGTTTTTAAGTCTAGCAAGATGGGGGAGCCTCCCACCCAATGCATTGCGCGAGACGTTCAGAACGACTAAAGAAGTAAGCACACCAGTACTTAGCGAATCCGGTAGCGGACCAATCAATTGGTTGGAGGATGCATCAAGTTCACGAAGTGCAGAGAGTGAGCCCACAGTCTCGGGTAAGATTCCGGTGAACAGATTTGTCGAAAGATTGATTCGTTGTAGGACCGCCAGCCCGCCGATTTCGATTGGGATCATTCCAGAAAGTTGGTTGTACGCCAGGGAGAGCTGGTTCGTCAGAGGGAGGGTTGAAATATTGGCCGGTATGCTTCCGGTCAGCCTGTTAAACGATAAATCCAGGTCTTGCAGTTTCGGAAACGTTGCCAACTTCGTGACAAAATCCCCTGTTAGATCGTTCTCTCGCAAATTGAGCAACGTCAAATTCCCTAAGCTCTGGAAAGGTACAGGCCCTTGAAGCCCGTTCCTGCTTAAGTCTACCAGCGTGAGCCTCGCGCACAGATTCAAAACTGCAGGGATTGGCCCCGTGAGGTTATTCGTCGACATGTTGAGCCTTTGCAAGACTGACATATTGCCGATCGACGTCGGGATAGATCCTACTAGCAGGTTGTTTGCTACATTTATTGAAGTGAGGTTCCTCATGTTCCCCAAGAAAGTTGGCAATTCCCCGTCGAGACGATTGTTGCCAAGATTTAAGGTTTCTAAATTGGTTGCTTGCGCAAGCTCTACCGGAATCGCCCCAGTAAGTAGATTGTTAGACAAGTCGAGCTGTTTCAATGAGGAGAGAGCGCCAAGGTAGGGGCTCAATGTACCCTTCAAGCTCATGTTGGCAAGGTTTATGGACGTCACTCTTTTGTCAGTGCAATCGATCCCAGGCCAATACTGCTTCGTATAGTTCTTCATTCTGCAAGGATTTAGCGTTTGCTTGGCCCCTGTGCGCTTCCACCAATATGTGGCATTTGTAGGATCGTCGGTGATCGCGGCCTTAATTTGAAGCAAAGCCTCACCATCTTCTAATACACTTCGTGTCGAATTCACGGCCTGCGATGTAAGAACAGCTTTTTAATCTCTGGGTCACAAACACTGATACATCATGAATAATTTTTGCAAAGACAGTCTTATCGATACAAAAAAATTAGCATGTGCCGAAACTGGGAAGGCTAGACGTACCAGCACTCGTCTTCCAGTGCTCGGTTTCAATCCTACTTCACCTACAGAAATAGCCGCACCAATGTGGACGGATAACAATCCAATTGTTAGCACGAAATAGGTCGCAAGTGTGAAGAACTGCCGGACGCAGGAAGCAGCCAAATCCTTGCGTATTTTCGATTCAGACGAAGCCATGCCGGTGTCACGACTTTATATTTCCCAGATTCAATCGACTGAAAATTGTTCACTATTCACTTAGTCATATGTTGCATCTGTCCGGGAAATGAGTACCAACTCTCATCTCGCTTGATCTTTTCGGCTTATTTTCACCTCGTTCTCTAGATTCACAGCCGCAGCAAAACGCCGCGCTCAAACCTCTTACTTCACCCGACCTGTATTATCACTCAAAAAAAAAAAACAAAACAAAACAAAACAAAAGTCTCTTCTTCGCTCCTTGCGGTCTGACACCACTCTGACGAACTCTAGCCGAACCCCTTCGACTGGTTGATAGCCTTGTTGTCGTGAGACTCCGTCAAGGTGCCGCCTTCAAACCAGCTAAATCGAAGAATGGAAGCCCTTCAGAAGACAACATGGATCTGTAAACGTTTACGCAAGATATAACCCTCCGGTGCATTAGAAGAAACTGAATCAGATAGTTTATCAAACTACAACCACCCTTACAGAATCAGCTTTGCATCTCCAGAAGAGAACGCAAGAAGCCTGAAACTTCCGACCTCAGCATCGAGAGACTGTCTCCAGTTCTGCACTGAACCCTTGTGAAGTTCAGAAACCATCACAAGTCGGCGCCTGGAAACTTAAGTAGAAGCTACATGAGACTCGTGGAACCAGACGGATTGTAGATGGAAGCACCTTGCGTTCAGCTCCGCAAAATGATGCAGGCAGCTCAGTCCTCAGTGACTTCTACAAACCACGGTGGAATCTAGACCTGCGTTTCTACCCTCGCATCAAGTGCATCAGATTTGCATCACCACAGATGCTGATCACAGCAAACTTCGTAATGTTGAGTCGGCCAGGCCAAGTAAACTCAAGATGGGCAACCAATTATTAGAATTCTCACCGAATACCTGTGAGGATTCCTTTGCCCACCACTGAAGGATACCTGGGCATTGAATTTTTCTTAATTGCTTTTCAAACACTTGAACCGCCGCCAGAGTCAACAGGTTTCAGTGAGGTTTACGCTACCCTCCAGTAATTCCAGCCAGGAGGCTTTTGAAGGGAAAGTATCACCTCGTCTCCACCGCAAACGACATTTAAATAACAATAACACGAAAAAGAAAAGCAAATTAACGTATACAACACTCCGAAAATCTTACACACAGCCTTCGGTTTTTCTTAACACACTGTTTGACGTGACCAGCCAACGATTCAAACCGTCTCATGAGGCTAGCGGCTCGGATGCCGCTTCTAAAGAACGAACAAAGCCTATTGTTACATCTTTCATCGAGCCCATGCGACAGATCCAGCACATCGCTACCGACAAAGCCACCACATGACTACCGCGTGGGATGTATAACACGCGACATGCACGACTTCGAGATCATTGACCTCAAACTCCGTAAACTCGGGTAACCCACTTCCTGGAATCCATCCACAGGACCAGAAACCCACATGGCGAAGGGACCCGGGTGGGCACATCGGCGGCGACATCTTCGATTCACTTTCGATTCAGCGCCGCACCGAGTAGATGATTCCTCACTGTGTATCAACGTCCTCCAGGTTGATCTTCGAACAGTGAGCGCGGTGTCTTTGTGATGCAGGTCCTCGCCTTCTCCTCCGCTAGAGTTGAGATCCTGCACATCGATGTGGCTCAAGTCAACCAGGCTGCTTGTAACTCCATCAGCCATTCGCCGCTGCATGGCCACAAGTCACCGAACTGGGCCAAGTCCAAGTCAAAAGGTTCAACGCCTTTGTTGACCTCGAAGTTTTATAAACAAAATTATAAATTATAATGAACAAAGGTCAATGGTCTGCGGATCCCACCAATCCTTCCAACCCTGCATTATTATCTATCCCCTACAGTGCCTCCGTGAACTGCTCAAAACCGGTTGTTTTTTTTTAGGCAATTTAGGGTTTGCTTTTGTGCACCGCCGTGGCTTGACTTTTTGAAGCAGGTTGTGGATAATGGATTGTGATGGGTGGTGCGTGAGTTGGAAATGTGTTGGGTTTTCTATGTTTTTGAGTATTTGAAGTTATGTAGTGACGAGTGAGCTGGTTTGAGTTGCAAGTGATCTGTGTTTTTTTCTTTGTTGAGATTGAACTAGACGGTTTTTTTGTTTGTGGGTTGAGAATTCTCAGCAGTTGAGAATTCTCAGCAGTTATGTGGATTTGGATGTTTGTTGATGTCGATCCATACAGCTGTTCATTGGAGTGTGTAATTGTTTGATGTTTTGAACCGGTTGGCAAATTCTAGCGGTGGATGTTGTCGATGCTCCATTGATTTGGTGTTTTGAATCATTTATTAGATTCTAGTGGTGGAATGTTGTCTTTTTCTTCAAGTTGACTGAGAAAGGATACTTCTTCCGGAAAAGAAAAGGAAAAAATTAAACAAAAATACTGAAAACAAAACAAATCGAACATCACAAAGCGTTGAGTATTCTAAGTTCCTTTCTCTTCTGTTCAGTGTTGTTTTTCTGTGAAACAAACAAACAAACAGTTAAATATTAGAAGAAGATTGATTCAGCAAGTTGATTTAAACTTTATTTTTTCTCCGTTTAAAATGCGTAAGATTATCCGATTCAAATAAAGAGCTTTTATTTATCTACACAATTTGAATAAAACTGTGCATAAGAAAAGTCAAGCCTTTTGGTAGAAAGTAAAACATACCTTGGAGGGAGGTCTTGACTCGAACATTTCTAAGGTTCTATGATTGATCACCACATTTGGAAAGTATTAAAATAATTACTTGAAACCCATGCTTCGTTTTCATTAGATTAAACTGTTTGCACTATTCAATAAAAAGGTGAGAAGCGCTTTCATAATCGTTTGAAATAGTATTTAGATGAAACTTCATACAAAACGTAGAATGCAGTCCTAAAATCTTTTTTAGATCTTTGAAATTCTAAAAAAGATAGTCTTAAAAGGTTGAAAATGTGTTTCCTTCTACATGATAAAGTTCAAACAATGACAGACATTAGAGTTGTTGATTGATTCCCATTTTTTGTTTCAAAAATTACATGTATATATATATATATATATATATGAAAGCATAGTAAGATCCATGCAAAGTTATTGATTCCAGAATAAAAAACCTTTTTTGTTTTATGTCTAACACTTCGAAATAATTAATTTGTGTATTGGTGTGTCCTATTTACTAAAAAACTTAAACATAATACAAATTCTACAATGTACTGCATAAATTATAGTTAATACTATGTACTTATATCCATATTTTTTAAACATGGTTTCATCAAGTTAAAGGAAAATGAAGAAATTGTATTTTGTAATTTGTATAAAGAACTAAACTCATTTTATTTGATTTTTAAAATTGAGTCAATAAAACACAACAATTTTTTTCAATCTACTGGAAGGTCATTTATATGATACATTATATAGTTTTAAAATTTTATGATTGAAAGATTTTATTTTTATAAACTTGCAAAATATAATCACAATATTTCTACATGCAAATATAGTAAAAGCAATATTTTTCATAAACTAGAATCACAATTAAGATTTAGGTTTATTCAAAAATATAAATTGTGGTAGTAAGAAAATATACTTGGAGAAGAGAAAAAAAACACAAAAAAAAAAAAAAAAAAAAAAAAAAAAAAAAACAATAGAAAAGAAAGAAAGTTTAGAACATATGGCTTTAAAATAAGTTCTTTTGATTTATTCTATTTCACTTTAATATATTTTAAAGTTATTGTAAATTTAAGAAATCTTATTCTCAAAATAGTCATAATGCAATATGATCCATTGTTTTGTAAATAATTGTCAAATTTTTCATTCATTGTCTAAAACTATTCTTGCATAATCCTAAAAAATCCAAAGTTTGTATTTATTCCTTGAAAATCATGTATTTATTTATTAAATTGATATAAAAGTATAAGAATAAATTTATGAAATCTAAAAGTGACGCTATAAAGTTTTGTATGGTATCATTATCAATTTTTGACGGTTCAGCAGCAGTAATTCAAATGAATTGCAAAAGAGCATTATTTAAAATAAAATTACGTGCATATAATGTAAAAGTTAAATAAATAAAGAACACTAATTCAACTTTCATAAAATTTTAATTAAAAAAAATATAAATCAAAAAACCATGTATAAATCATATTTTTATCAACTATAAATTAAATAGTAATTAAGAATACATTATTTATAAACATGTTATGAAATTTTATATAAATATAAATATATTTATATATCTATAATATAATAATAAAGATAGTTTTTTTCACTCCTAGTATTCAAAAAAAATTCTAAATATGAAAAATAATTCAATATATCCAATAATATATTTAATCTAATATTTTTACTAATATTTATTGTGACTCACAAAACGGAATACAAAGCTTGCATCATTAAATTCAAGTCACAAAGCTTAAAAATCATGAAATAAGAATTAAAAATTGAAGTATAGAAATAATATTAAATATAGTTATAAACATTCTTGCAAAATATTAAAGAAAAATTACTAATACAAGAAAATATTTAGATACAAATACAAAACTAATTTTAAATTTTAAATTTGTACATACAAAGCATTTTGAGTTGAAAATTTGATCTAATATTCTTTAGTTTAAAAAAAATTGCAATATATTTGGAAATGATTTCATAAACATTTGTAATTGTAAAAAATACCTTAATCTCTTACTTCTATAATTGTAATATTTCTATTAGAGCTCTATGAAAATTATTTAAATAATATTTTAGAAGCATCTATAAGTATTTAATTATATTTAGATTTAGTTATTACATTTATTACTTAAGAACTTAAAAAGATTGAATTTGATCCATTCTTATATACATTTGATTGAATGACTCAAAACATTGTCTTATTTAAAAATTCAAATTATAAAGATCTAAATAATATCCTATGCATGTCACAAATATAAATATTTATTCTAATAATTATCTATATGATTAAGTAGAAGTAGATAAAAATAGATTTATTTCATAATATCTTCTAAAGAAGCTTCCTAAACTCTTCATAGATGTTGCTTTGACTTTACACATGTTTATAATTAATTTATAGATTAGAAACTCGATCAACAAATTAATCGCATATTATATATATATTGGTAGCTTATGGAACAAGCTAACTATGTGGTAGACAAATAGAAAACTTGCATTACAAATTAAGACATATCTTTAGTAAAGTCAATATGTGTGAAAGGTCCTATAGAACATCGTTACATAACTCTAAGTTAGATAGTATATATAGAGGCAAGAGTGAAGCCTTCTTCACTCTTGTCAATGTTTTTTTAGTCCTTAATCTTATTTCAAGACTTTCTAGTTTTCTTATCTTTGACAATAGTCGTTCTGGTTCAATATATTACCATCTTTGAATGAATTCTTAATCTTTTTGAGTGACACAAGAGTGTATTGATTTTTTAGTTCTTTGAGGTTCATATCCTTGACATTGAATAGTATCATATATATATATATATATATATATTTACTCTAATAATTACTTATAGAATTAAATAGAAGTAAGTAAAAGTGGATTTATTTCATAATATTTTTTATGAAGACTTTTTATAAGCTTCATGGACACAACTTTTATTTTATACGTATTTATAGTTGATTGGTAGGTTAGAAAGTTGGTCAATAAGTTAGTTATGTATCACACATATTGGTAGCTTATGGAACAAGTTAACTATGTGGTGCACATATAAAAAACTTGCCTTGTAAGTTAAAACATGTGGATTGCAAAGTCAACATGTATTAGAGGTCTTATAGAACATTGCTACATAACTCTCAATTAGATAGTATATATGGTGGCAAGAGTGAAGCCTTCTTCACTCTTGTCAACACCTTTCTAGTATTTAGTCTTATTTCAAGACTTTTTAGACTTCTTGAATTTAGCTATAGCCATTCTAATTTATTATATTATCATCTTTGAGTGACTTTCTAATCTTTTTGAGTGACACAAGAGTGTATTGAGTTTTCTTTCTTTGAAATTCATGTCCTTGACATATAATACATTATAAATATAAATATAATAATATGAGTCTATATTTTTTTATTTTGTAAATACAATTTTAAATCATGATTAAATTACTATTATATTTTATTATCTAATAAACTTGGTATAGTGATGTATCAACTTATCTATTAATTAATCCAATATAAAGACCTTTTAATAGAATAAAATTAATTTATCTTTGTATTATCACTAAAAATTACATGGATTCCAATCATCACAAGTCTAATATTAATATTTTTTTAGCAAATATGAATTTTATGTGCACATTTTTCTTCAAAGAAAATTCATTTGATTTATTGAGCTTATTTTCACAAATCAACATCTTATACATACATGCTTCAAGGTTTAATCAAATTATTTTTTATTAGTCTCTTTTCAAATCTTTTTTGATATTTCTACAATATTGTGGCATCTATCAATAGCAAATACAATTATACAATATTGTTGCTATTCTATTGTAAGGCCTTATGGTAATCTTCTTTTTAATTTCACCAACTCTCCATCAATTTTATATCTTATTTGTTTAACAAATGAATAAAAAAAACTTAAAACAATCTTATAACTATATATATAGAAGCACCAATTTTCAATTACACATGATTTTGCTTTATTACTATGATAAAAAAATAGGACGACTTGTTTTTGATAACAACCTACATTACCAAATTCAAAAAATATAAGTTATAATAGGCATTCTTTTTTCATTTCTTTTTTGGATTGTATAAGCCTATAAAATTTTTTAAATTTATTAAATAATGAAGAAAAAATTATAGCAAAAAATTAAAAAAATATAAGAATGAAAGACATTTCTTTCTTCTTAATTTTCTATTTTTATCATAAATTTTTAATTTTTGAAAAAATACTTCATACATCATTATTTTTATATTTGAATTAGAAATTTTTAAATTTGCATTTGCTAGTGTTTTCTACTAAAGTTCACAAACCACCACTAGTACTTAGTTTTGACAGTTGAATGGTGATCTTCATGACTTTACATGCATAATCAATTATCTACAACAATTCAAGTTAAAAAATCGAAACATAAAAAATAAAATTTAATTTAATTTATTTTTTTTCACACCAATATGATCACCATGGGAAAAAAATTGATGACATTATCATGACCAAAATCTAAAATAAAACGTGCATGACTCCATTTTTCACGAAATCAATCGAGTGAAGCAGAAAAGAAAAAGAAAGCAAGATAAAAGAAACGCAAGGGTCCGCAAAAGAAAAAGCCCCAAATAACGTAAAAGGAAAAGGAAAAAAATGATAAAGTAGAAAGTAACAAGGAGAAGGCTTCTGTCCGCCGCTTGCTTGCTTTGCTTGCAGGTGGGGTGCGGTGTCGGCGCTGCCTGTGGGGGCCAGGAGGAGTGAAGCGAAGGAGGATTAGTGCGAAGAAGTGGGCTCTTCTTCTTCTCAGTTCCTCACACATTCTCTCTCTCTCTCTCTCTCACACTCACTCACTCATTCATTCATTAGCCTCCCCTCATTGCTCATTTGCAATTCTGTGCTTCTCTTTGACCTCTCTTTGTTTCATGCTGTAGAAACAGAGAGAGTGGTGTTCTCGTTCTCACCGATGCCCTAACTCTGTTATCACAATCCTCTCTCTGCCTGCCTGCCTGAGAGGCCTGTTTATTCTATTCTCTATTTCGTTTAGTTTGGGCGGTTTCTTCTCCGCCCTTCTTCATCAATGGTATGACTTTTTTTTTTTCCTGCCTCTTCTCTCTTTTAGGGTTTTTGGGGTTGTTGGTTGCTCAGAGGAGACTAGACTTTTAGTGGTAGTGTTCTTTTCTGTTGTGAGGAGGGGAGAGGGAGAGAGCAGTGAGGGTTATTTATTCATTTCTTTATTTATTTTGCTTTTGGTTGTTGTATGTTTTGGTGGAAAAGTTGGTTCTGTGGTGTAGGGTTTAGGGTTTAAGGCTCCTCGTTTGTATGCGGGTGTTGTTTGCGTGGAGAGGGGTTGCATTTTTTAAAATTTATTTGCGTGAAGTAGTTTAGATGTCTGCGGTAGGGTTTAGGGTTTATGAATAGGCACTATTTGGGTGGTGGATATGGTGGTTCGTGAGTGGGCTTTTATTCATTTATTTATTTATTCTTACTGCCGGGGTTTTGAAATGATTGAGCGGAATAAGGAGTGATTTAAATGTCTCCATTGCAGGAGTTGGCGATGAAATCTAGTGGCGAGAAAAAGAAGAAATCGAGGAAGCGACCGAAGGATGTAGAAGACATCGACAATGGGGTGACCAATGGAGTTGGGGTTACAAATGAAAACGATTCCGGGAATGGAGAAGTCGAAGCCGAGAAAAAGAAGAAAAAGAAGAAGTTGAGCGATCCGAAAGTTGTGGACTTGGAGGCCGGGACAGCGGAGCAGCAGGAGGAGATGGATGGAGTAAGTGAGGATGCAGAGCAAGTAGATAAAACAGAGTCTGACAGACCGGATCTTAAGGATGTAATCAAAGGGAAGAAGTCAAAGAAGACGAATTTTACTATCGAGAATTTAGGTGGAACTGAACAGGTTGAAGGCATTATGAGTACCACCTCATTTGAGTCATTGCCAGTTTCGGAGCCCACTAAGAATGCTCTAAAAGACACCGGATTTTCTCATATGACTGAGGTACGCTTATCACGGAGTGCTCACAATGACTTTTGGGGAATTGGGCAGTAGAATTCGCATATTAGTAGTCCATAACCCGTGAATGTGCTAGTATTCTGTTAGGAACAGAATGTGGGATTGTGGGTTTTTCAACGATTGTGACTCTTCGCCAAGGGTAATGTCCTTTTTTATCTTCAGTAGTACTTACTCAATCTAACTTTGAATCTATTATGCAGATTCAAGCTAGGTCAATCCCTCAGCTTCTGACTGGTCGTGATGTTCTGGGAGCTGCAAGAACTGGTTCTGGAAAAACCTTGTCATTTGTAGTTCCCGCCGTGGAGTTGCTATTCCATGCCCACTTTATGCCTCGGAATGGAGCCGGTGTGATCATTATATCTCCCACTAGGGAGCTTGCTATGCAGGTGAGATATCTCGTCATTGGTCCCGATAATGCCATGGATTCTCGATTGTGAGTGTAGCAGGTGTTCCATTTGTCAGTCGCCACTGCATTTCTGAGCTTTTCGAAGAGCTTATAGTTGGAGAGATTCCTCAACTTCTCCAGAAAACTAAAATTTTGTCTCCGTCAGTGCCGTACGGTTTTTCATGTCGCTTCACTCTGGCTGACGCTGAAACTCTAATATTTTTGCAGATTTATGGAGTCGCTCGAGATATCCTAAAATACCACAAGCAAACACATGGCATCGTTATGGGGGGAGCTAACAGAAGAACTGAGGCTGAAAAGTTGGCGAAAGGGGTGAATTTCTTGGTTGCCACTCCAGGTCGACTTCTGGATCACCTTCAGAACACCAAAGGTTTCATATTCAAGAACCTCAAGGTCAGTAGCTATTATTTGCAAAGGATTGTTGTACATGTATTACGTGCCGTTTAACTCAGTGGTTGAGTCATTTGTCCTGACGTATGTGAGTCTAATCGACGGGTACATGAAATGAATTGATCTGATTTCAAGTCTGATGGAAGGGAGTACAATACTTCGCTTGCACCTAACAGTACGTAGTAAGGAACTCACATATGCATCTGTTCGTGGTCTACGCAGTGCCTGGTGATCGATGAAGCTGATCGAATTCTAGAAATAGGGTTCGAGGAGGAGATGAAGCAAATTATCAAGTTGTTGCCAAAAGAGAGGCAAACAGTGCTATTCTCTGCTACTCAAACCACCAAGGTTTGATGATGATACTGCGAATTGCTCCTCAAAAATGTTTATCATTGCTGTCGGTTTTCTATTAAGAATTTTGGACTATTGGCTTCTGCTGATGGATTAGCTTCAAGCTGTCGCATGTCATCACTCTAGGCTATGGAGATCACTTTTATAATCATGCGTAATGATTTTTTATTTTGAACACGTGCAGGTGGAGGATTTAGCGAGGGTTTCATTCAAGAAGGCTCCACTGTATATTGGTGTAGATGATGGTCGGTCGAAAGCTACAGTTGAAGGATTGGAGCAAGGATATTGTGTGGTGTCCAGTGCGGAACGTTTCTTGCTACTATTCACCTTTTTGAAGAAGAATTTGAAAAAGAAGGTAAGAGACTGTTTTCAACCCGTCAAATGCGAGCTTTGCGTGTCGAACTGTCGTCTTCTCCCTTTCCCGAACTGGATGTCACTTCATACGTAGTGCACTATTCTTGGCAAGGGCTGCGAGGCAGCAGTGAAGTTCCTTCACCGAAGACGCACTTCGTGTAGGAAAATGTTGTCGCAACCAGACCTTAGTATCTGAATAGGACAGGTGCAATATGCGATATTCTTATGTGTCCCGTGAACGCAGATTATGGTTTTCTTTTCGTCGTGCAACTCTGTGAAGTTTCACAGTGAGCTTTTAAACTACATCGACATTCCGTGCCTAGACATTCATGGCAAACAGAAGCAGCAGAAGAGAACGTCAACTTACTTCGAGTTCTGTAATGCGGAGAAGGGCATCTTACTTTGCACGGATGTTGCTGCTCGTGGGCTGGACATCCCAGCAGTGGTAAGTATTGAATCCAGCTCTTCGATGATTAGATTGTTTTCAGTGGTGGCGGTTGTTGTGATGCGTCTACATATGTGCGTCTGTACTGACGTTACTAAGTTCCGATTTGTGGGTGTGTTGGCTGTAGGACTGGATTATTCAGTACGATCCTCCAGATGACCCAAGGGTGAGATGCTCTACAACCTTAAGACCCTGATGAATGCTGTCTCCTTCATTTCTTTTTGTTGAGTGTGACTTTGATTGATGTTGTAGTGCTTAAACTGGATGTCTGGTTTTACAGGAATACATTCATCGAGTGGGTCGAACTGCTAGAGGAGAAGGATCTCAGGGGCGAGCGTTGTTGTTTTTGATTCCGGAAGAACTGGGCTTCCTCAAGTATCTGAAGGTTGTGACGGTTTCTTTATTCTATTTATTTAGAATTGTTTAGAATGGAACACATTGGTGTGACTGGGTTTTATGTGTATTCATCGTAGTTGTTATTTGTAACAGTTCACAGATGTTTTCCTGAGTGACTTCTAGCCATTCGATTTTGGAGTTGTCATCGACTGTCATTTTGTTGAGTGATAGCATTCAAAAGCTGAGAAACTGAACGTGGATGCACGGTTTTTTTTCGCAGGGTGCGAAAGTTCCTCTTAACGAATACGAGTTTCCTTCGAATAAGATTGCAAACGTGCAATCACAGCTGGTGCGAATTTTACATTTTTGATCCGCAATGACTTTTAAAGAGAGTTCATCTGTGCTAGGTTAATGAATGTTGTTGATTGGTGAAGGAGAATGAATCAAATTCGAAGACTTGAAATATTGTTAGTCATTGTTCAGGGGAGTGATGCACATACTACTCTGGCATACAGGAATATTATTTCATTTCGAGAGGTTGGTGGATACACGCGAGAATTTTGTTTTGACATCCGAATCGTTGCATGCCGGTGACTGTAGGAAAAGCTTGTTGAGAAGAACTACTATCTGCATCAGTCGGCTCGTGACGCATACCGGTCTTACTTATTGGCTTACAACTCTCATGCTATGAAGGACATCTTCAATGTGCATCGGTTGGATCTACAGGTGAGATTATTAGAGATGTGGATCATTCTTACTTTCCAAGTAACAAGTGTTTGTGCAGAAAGTTTTGGATTGGAATTCGAGCTCTATCGTAGTTGTTGCAAGTTCAGGATTTCCAGTACGTTAAGTTTGAACAACTGTTGTATATAGAAGATGGGCAGAATGTTATCGTGGCTTGTTCATTCCTTGCAGTAGAATTTGGATCTCATGATAAGTTACGGGTGGATGTGTTTTGTAGGCTGTCGCATCATCATTCGGATTTAGCTGTCCTCCGAAAGTGAGCCTCAATTTAGATAGCAGTGCTGCGAAATTCAGGAAAAAGGGTCCAAAAGTGGAGGGTCGGAGTAGTGGCAAGCACGGGTTCAATGCAAGTAATCCTTATGGCAAGAAAGCAGGTGGAGATAAGACGAAGTTCACCCGGTACTAGATGTGTTGCGCAGAGTGGATGAATCAGCCAACTCAGTTTTGAAAGTTGATTTTTATACAAATGTTTGACAATTAATTAGGTGTGAAACTTATCTATGCCGTTGGTTTAAGTTTCATACATAGAGTTAGTCGTAGCAGCGCAAGCTTTCAGGCATTTGTTAATGGGCTGTAAATATAATGAGTAACATTTAGGGTGAAGATATTGGATCTTCTATATCGGTCGCCGCGACATGCTATATTATTATTTTGCTGTTAGCATTTTAGCTATGAACGTTTCAAGTTTTCGCAGAAGAGTTATAATTAGGAAAGCAGAAGCGAATGGCTTCCTGTAATGAAACGATGCTTTCATGTTGCACTATCTTTGGCAGTTTCACTGCGAGCAAGAAGGGTTTCAGCGTGATTCAACCGATGTACAATCACATCGAGATTGAGTTAGCGAAAATTGCTTCGAGTGTCTTCTCCGTATTTACTAGATTATCGAATATCTTCGTATTAATCAGTAGGCACTGCGTTAGCCACAATGAGATGGAAGTAGTGTGTATTCAACGATTGTTCTCAGTGCAACTGCGCTTCTTGTTGAATTTCAAATTCTTCTGTATTTTGAGACGAATACAATTTGAACTGGTTTGTATGTCTGGAGCGGCAACCGAAAACTTTCACCTTTGTTGTCAACCTTGAGCACCCGTTGTTTCTTTAGCTTTTCTCACGACTGTACGATGTCTCCGTCGAGTCCATAAAGCTAGATGGATACTTCAAAATTTAGACATGGAAATAACAACCAAGCACGAAATACTATACTCCGGAAAACTAACGCAACGTCGAAATAGGATTTGTGAGCTCACTAAAGGTTTGATTCGAAGGAAAGAATACAGCATGGATGAAGAGCTGATCGAAATTTTGTGGAGAGAGCCGCATCAAACAACTTCAACAATAATAGCATGCATGAGCCAGCAACCCGAAACCGATCTGCGACTGGAAACTTTTCTTACACCCCCAAAAAGTTTGGCGGACAACTACACCAGTCTTGTGTCGCAGCATAGAGTGCTGTTGGACACCCAACACCATGGCCACCACCATGAATGCAAGTATCGTTCCAGAACCAGTTCTTGCAGCTCTCCAAATACCATGACCATTCAGAAGCTGAGGCTCCGACATAGGAAATAACTCGATTGATGTGGAACTCATAACCCTCTCAACACGTGTAGTCCCACATGAATTCGTAACATTAAAACTGGCATTGTTTTTCATCTCGCTCCTTATATCCTGCTCATCAGCCCCGCTCTTAGAATCCATTTAGTCTGCCCCCAATCGCAACGCATCGTCTCCATCCATTTCCTTCGCCTTCTCAACGCCCCCGCCTGTACAATCTTCGCTCTCTTTACCTTCTCTACCATTGCTCTTGTTGGAGCCATGGATTCAGCTGAAATAAACTAGACCGTGGTACACTAATACTACGCATGACGATTTCTGGGGGTACTCAACGGACAACGTACACTCCAATCCCTGGCAATTGGGCAGGGCACTCCTTATAAACCCTGAACCCTAATTCTCTGGACCTTAAATCCTAAATTATTTCTGAGTCTCATTAGTAGCAGGAGAACAATATTATGGGAGCCGTGGATACATCGTGTTTCGGAGCGAGGTTTGCGTAGCGGGACTTATCGAGAGCAGTTTAGCGATGGCTGGCGCCTTATTCTGGCCTGCCAGCAGGCTAGCCCCTGGAACCTTGACGAAGGGAATGTTCCTGGACGAGGTGTCTCGCTGCATTCATAGGTCGCAGCGGAGGCTTTTCGCTGCGAAAACGGGTAAAGTGACAGTTGTGGCAGGGCCAAGGAAGAAAGTCGCGAAGGTACGGAAACCGGTGGAAGAGATTGCTGTGAAAGAAAGCGAGATATGGACGTCTCGTGCGGGATGGGCTTGTGTGAAGAACTGTGGAGCTTGCTGCGTGTTGGATAAAGGACCAGATTATCCACCCATTGAAGAGGTTCTCAGTGACCCCGCAGAAGCTGCTTTGTACCGTAGTATGGTCGGTCCGGATGGGTGGTGCATAAATTACGATAAGCTCTCTCGGTCCTGCACAATTCATGCAGACCGACCTCGATTTTGTCGCGTTGAGCCTGAAACCTTCAAGGTCTTGTATGGCATTGAGGAAAAGGATATGGACAAAGAGGCCTGTGGGTTTTGCAAGGACCAGATAAGGAGTGTCTATGGTGGCCGGTCGAAGGAGCTCAAGACGTTCCAGCGAGTCGTCAGGAATTTGAACAAAAGGACGTGAGAATTGGGTCATCGTTACAGAATTGAAGTAAGTTTGCTGTCCTCAGGCCTTGTTGCTGCGTCTAGGTCAGAACAATTTTTAGTGCGAGTTAAGAGAGAAGACGACACGTCTTTCGCTCTAATCCTGAGTGGTATTTGGGTGATTTTCATCTCTGAAATCCACCAAGGATTGCAATTCAGCTTGTATCATATTATCATTGGAACTCAATTGGAACTGAACTTGGAATCCTCCATCTTTACATGCTCACTCTTGCCTGCATTGCGTAGCAGGTTCAGTTCTTCTGGATTGTTTTGTTCGTGTTAGGGCTGTGCGTTTCTGAGGCGCAATCCTCACGGTTTGCTACTTATTTCAAGTGGTTTCAGAAACACACACAGCTTCTGTGATGTGATGCAATGGCTAGTGGCAGCGAGTATCAAGGATGTTTGTAGTCACTCCAATTTGCGGTCAAACTGCTCAAGATGCTAACATTTCTCACAAACTCGTCTTAATGCGTGAGCCCTCGGAGTCCCTCCCTGACTCGAAACCCTAAATCTAAAACAAATGAGTTCAACCCACAAAGCGTTGAATGTTTCATGCCTATCCCAGTTTCTTCCCAACAGCCTCTCAGTTGAATTGCGGTGAATTTTCTTATAATCCAATTGTTTTGATATTGTAGGGACGACCTGGGCGATGAAAACCCACTTAAGAAGTTATGAACCTGCACTGCTGAATCCAAATCCAATACTCTAAAGTTGCTTGAAGTTTAGGATGTGTTACGGTCAAAATAACTCGGGATGAAACTTACATGTTGAATTATATTGCTTGATTGAGTATGTTTATACGCATGTATATATGTATGTATGTATGTATGTATGTATGTGTGTGTGTATTTACAAACTAATTTGGAGAAGCCTTTCTTTGCTTTGGAAGTAGCATAATACAAGAAGTCATTAAGGTGAAGCTTTAAAATATTATTTAAAATTAAACTCAACATATTATTTGAATGCATTGTAACAAAACATTTGAACCAAGGTTAATCCAAAAACAAAGTTTAAATTTTGTGTGATTCTTACTAATCTTCTTTCATAAAGATACCCAGCCACAGACACCTTGTTCTTTTCTTTATTATCACATATTAGATATCCAGAATCTAATGCAAAGATTACAATTTATTATTTCTCAAAGAGGTTTTACACTTAAGTTGGCATTTTAGCATACCATGCTTTATCTATAACTTCAAGAAAAATATGAATTTAATACAATCTTATTGCAAGTGCTAAGTATGGCTAACCCTTTATGAGACAAGTGTAAAGACATAACAATGGTAACTATCATAGCATTAGAGTGCATGTGTATTTCAAAATGCATATGAGGGAGTGTAAATGGATGGGTGATAAAATCAAATTCTTCCATGTTCAAGATTCACAAGGGTTTAAGATCCCTACCATAGAATGAGCTTATAATTCCAATGGGGCATCATAACAATTATTGAATTATTGTTGAATTGTTACTGAACTACCTTAACCTCTCATTTTATGATATATATATATATATATATATATACATTGTTTTTGTTTTGGTGACATGTAATTGTCTAATGAATATAAAACAATTCTTAGTTTGATTTTTTTAAAAAAAAACACACACACACACACACACACAAATACATGTATATATATATATATATATATATATATGTAGGTTATCTAAACAAATTAATTTGATTCTTTAATTCTAAGCATTGAAAAAAAATATATAATTTAAAATTTGATTCTATTATTGATAGAAACTAAACATACACTCCTTATTAATCTACATACAAATAGATTTTCAACAAAAAAAAAAAAAAAAAAAAAAAAAAATGTCATCACAATCTTTTAAATATTTTTTTAGGAGATTGTTAAATTGACATAGGCATTTACTAAATCTATCCACCCATCACCATTGGTTGATGATTTAACCATTTTTTCATTGATTTTTGACAAATCTGGACCCAACATTGACAATTTTTTTGATAATGGTTCGGGTAAATGCTTGGGCCAATTTAACAATTCCCTTTTTTATTTTAAAGGTGATGTTTATCATTCATCTTTTACCCTAACAACGAATAATTTTTTTCCGTTCGTTAGTAGCAAGGTAGACAGTCGTTCGCAACGATGGATGGATGTGTGGATGAATGTTGTGATCGGGTGATGCTGGGCAGGAAATTGTTAGAAAGCAAGCTTCCGAAATAAGAAAGAGAAAATGTTGCTATTAAGACCAGCACCATCGCGTGTTTTCTCGGTCACGGGAAGTGTTGATGCCGCAGCATCTTTGCCTCGTCTCACACTCCACCACCATTCGAGGATTGTTAATCTCTGTGGCATCATCTCATCAAGGCCCTGCTGCTTCAGTTTCAGCAGTTTTGGAATTGTCAGAATTGCGGTGGAGGTGAGGTGGAGTGGAAGTGCTTTATATCTTCCTTGTCGAGACCACTTCTCGGTGGACTTGTGGGTTGTTTTCCTACTTTTGTGGAATTGGGCGGGTAGGGAGAAGCCACCGCTGCCTGAAGGTCTTGGTTGGTGTGTGTGTGTTTGATTAGCTGGTCCTGATGGGTGTGAGTATTTCGTTCAGGATTTGAGGAGGTGCATTACAACTTTAGGGGAATTTGTGTTTATTGTGATGTATTCATAATTTTTTGCCTGCGGATATCTTTTCTATTTTGCATGGCTTGGATACGCGCAGCTGCTTTAGATGTTCCGATGAGCTGATCGTGTGTCTGATGGTATGCAGGGTATGAGGGCACTTTTGAAAGGGACTGCAGCGATGCCATCCATAATGCTGGTTGCTCTGGTTGCTTGGAGCATGATTTGCGGTTTAGCCGTGCAGGCCCAAGACGACTTCGATTTCTTCTACTTTGTGCAACAGGTGGGTTCGTCTTATCCCTCTTCGTTACGATCTTTTCGCATTCATGCGTGAACTGCGCAAACCCTTTAACCTGGAGAAGTCACAAGTTTTTGTAGCCAGAGGCTGATTAAAGAACAGAGCGACACCATTGGTATTAGCAGTTTTTGCCCTAAGCAGGGTGTGCTCTTACCGCGAAGCTGACAAAGTGATTGGTCGATGAGAGCAGTGGCCAGGTTCATATTGTGATACAAGAAGGGGTTGTTGCTTTCCTCTCAGTAGTAACCCTAAGGCGGTGTTCGGAATCCATGGTCTCTGGCCCAACTACGATGACGGATCGTGGCCTGATTTCTGCACTAAGGAGCCATTTAACCCCAAGGAGGTATGTCTTCGCTCTTTAGCTCTTCCTGTTCATTTTGCTTGGTAAACTTTCTTGAAATACGTTTCGAGCATACTGATACTTCTCCTTCTCAGCATCCGCCATTTTATCATCAGTTTCTCGCGTACAACCTTGTTTTCTTAACGGAAGATCTGAATGAGAATTCTCATAATTTCATATACTCTAACCGCTCAAGAAATCTTACTTCGTAGATCTGGTAAAGTCACAAAACTGTAGGGTGCTGTTTTGCATTCCGAGCGGAATGCCTGTAGGACTAAGATCTCATCTTTGAATTCAGTCGTGGCTCAAAACTGTGTTTTTAATTCATTGGGGGGACAAAGCCTGGTATAGTTTTAGAGGGTCTACATCTAATTTGATTTATGCAACCGCAGCTGGCGGACGTAGTAGATCAGATGGACGACGACTGGGGTTCACTGGCCTGCCCCGCCAGTGACAGCCATAGCTTCTGGACTCATGAATGGACTAAGCATGGCACTTGTTCTGGATTGGGTCAACACGGATATTTTCAGTCTGCCATCGACTTGTACGGGAAACATGATATTACGGGCGCCCTTGCAAAAGCAGGTAAGTTTTCCTCGCTGCCCTTTTGTTTTTTTTGTTTTTTGTTTTTTGTTTTTTTTTTTTTTTGGAACGAATAGAGAGAACTCTATTGCAGAGGGTTAAGTTACAAGTGCTCCAGCCAGGTTCGGACAGAGCGAAATGAATCGCTTCTCTCTTGTAAAGATTTCCTCAAGGACGATGTTGACATGATCAATCCCTGCAACCACCACACGAGCGGAGCATTAGTTTCCGATTCAAACTCATTAGGATCTCCTAACACAAACTCCATATGTTCACAGGAATACTGCCAGACGGTAAACACTATCAAGTTGATGCGATTCGCCACGCAATTAGCACTGTACTCGATGGCCATCTACCAGGAATTGACTGCAATAAGGACGGTCATGGTAACAGACAACTGTACCAAGTTTACATTTGTGTTGGCAAGGATGGAAAGACTTTGATTGAATGCCCCATCTTTCCCCGCAATGAATGCAAGGGCTCTGTGGAGTTTCCAGTCTTTGATCCTCACCATCACCGACTTAACTCAGGCGGTGCGAACGACACTGGAATGAGGAGTGACCACTGAACTTTTCTTCCAGTGATCTTAGGCAGGTAAATGTACGTTTTCTCTTTTAGTAGCGGTCATTTGGTGCTGAGCTTCATAGCATTGATCAGTATTAGAGAGATCGGTATGGAGAGGCACATCTGTGAATGCACACTCAGGCGATCAGTCTTGGATAGAATTTGTTCCTTGACAAGAATTGTTAGATTTTGCCTCAGCTGGTCACACTTGGCAAATGACTATATGGCTTAATACGTTACGATATATGTCATCTAATAGTTATATTGACTTTTGACCAATTTGTGTAAACAAGGGGCTTTGTGCTTTACCAGAATGTGGCAATAAGCATGCACAATGATTTTGCAAAAACATTTAAAAAAAAATAATTATGTCTTATTGGAGTAATAACATTTGATTATGCAAATTAACAAGAGTTTAGAATTTTGTCTTTTGTTTTATTTGAAAATTTGTTTTAAAAAGTGTTTTGCATGAATACCATTAACTATTGATCTCTATGATTACATAATGTACAAATTTTAGTATTACATCTAAAATTACATATATCTAAAATAGAATGTAATTATGTTTCTATAAATGAAAAAATACAAATTTAATGCAATATGCAACCAACATATTAATTAAATCTCTAACTTATACACATGAATACATGACAATAATAAAACAAATCTAATTTTTTACATAATTATGTCAAAACATAGGGAATGTACACATCTACAAGAAATTGTTGGATGATGGAATATTTTGAGTTCTAACTCTATTTTTTTATAACAAATGTTGGTTTAAATTTTTAAAATTTTTTTCACTGTTTTTTTCTAGTTATAATGTTAATGGTGAAGAATTTGTTGACAATGTTATGAATATTTATAAACTTTTCAAATAAACAAAAAATATTTAAATATGAATAAAAATGAAGAAAGAAGTCAAAGAAGTTTATTTACAAGATAGGAAAAAATTTAAATGGTTATTGTGGAGACTTCAACCAAGATTAAAGCAAAACAATATATGGCTTAGGCTAAATACATGTGTGTAGATATATATACACCTATAACAATAAGATTGAGGATAGCTAACAAAAATACCATGCAGAAGCTTGCTACAAATAATAAGGCATGTGATTTAAGTGGATCAAGTGTCAATTTATATAATGCCTCCGTAGTAACTTCATAAATATTTAAAATTTATAGGAGAAATTTTTATAGCCACATGGCACACCATAAGACACATATAAATCTTCTTTGTGTTTAGTGTATATGTATATATATATATATATATATATATATTTCAATTTGTTTAAAGAAAGTTATTTAAACTTATTTTTATTTACTTAAATATCACATGTATTTGTAGCAATTACAACCAATTATTTGATTAGTTTGAATATATTTTTATCAATGTTAATTACAATCTTCTGTACTTCTAGAAAGAATATTAAACATGATGATGTAATACATACATACATATATATATATATATATATATATGTGTGTGTGTGTGTGTGTGTGTGTGTTTTTGCAAATTTAAGTTTAATAATTATCATGAGAAGATGTAAGAAATGAGTTTTTACTTTGAGGAGAAAACAGTCATTGAATTTAATAAATAAATAAATCAATCAATCAAAACGATATATTTGAGTTGGAATTTGATTAAACAGCTGCATACAGCCGTGTGATGATTTGAACCCAAGAGCTTGCAATGACATGAAACAAAAATTTGTGCAAAATATTTTTAAAAAATATTTTTAAATTTCATAAAATAACCATGCATGTTTTTAATGTGACTTAATCTCATATTCTCTTATCGATAACTTAAAATTTTACGATTTTTAGTATTTGCAACTGTGTACAGCAACCTTGGTCAAATTGAATCATCAACCCAATAGACATGAAGCAACGTAATTGATTTAATCATGCGAACTGAGGTGTGACCATATTTAAGCACTTTAGAGCAATGCAATAAGAAAATTGAGAAGGATAAGAAGTTGCAAGTGATAAAGTTACCTCAATGAAAATGGTAACTTTGTCACAATGGCACAGTTTTTCTCTTGTAAAATGTATTGTCTAACATTAGATCGTTCACAACATATTCAACTGCAAGAGTGAGGTGGGAAGAACGGTGGCAGAATATAGACAAGTCCCAAATCATGTAAGAAAACATTTGTCCCAAGTGGCAGTAGGGGTGCTTTTTTAAGTCCTTTCGGTTCGACAAATGGGATTGCATATATTGCCGTCTCCAGGGTTGGGAAGTCTAACTTTGATTCCAGCTCTAGGGGCCACCCATGATACACTTGCTCGGAGATGCTCTCGAATTCAAGTTTTCTCATTTCCAAAAAACACTCCTTTGATGACTAGTTCACGATGTGCCTTGTTGCATTTCCTAGTCACGTTGGAAGTAAGTCATGTATTCAATACAGGAAATTCGAGCCAGGACTTGTGACGCCTCTCAGTACTCATGCATGAACACAAAAATCGAACAGAAATGCAGAACCATGTGAATTGATACGACTCGCTTATTACCAAAGATACAGCGATAACCGATTCTTCACAACTTATTACATTCTACAAGTAACAGACCAACTTCGTACCCATTCAAATTTAAGGACTGCTAGGCGTGCTCCTGAGATAGTACTGAAATGCAGAGACAAATTTACAAATGTATGGTCCCAACACTCCAGTGACTCAAACATGTCTCCTTTAACCCTTCTCTGCGTCGAAAAAAAAACGAAGTGAAATTCTATTCTTTGTCATCCTTCTCCTTCTTGGAAGAAGATCCGCCAGTCATGTACCAATATCCAATGGCAACCGCTCCAACGATTCCACCAATGACAGCATAGTTTGTGGTTTTATCAGTTGAGACGGTCGATGATGATGTCTCGTTAGCTATTTTCACAGCCTCGGGATGAGCATCAGGATGACCACTAACGGCTTTCTGGGCTTCCTCCTTGGAAAATCCCTTCGCAAACGTTTCGCAAAACAAGCACATAGGGCGAGATTCAGACTCGAGAGGCATTCATGCAGAAAAAAGAAAAATGAACCTAGAAGGTACTCCTCTAGCATGACTCAAAAAACCGACCAGCAATTAAAGACAAAGAACAGTACCTTTCGGGCAAGCTTCTCCAACTTCTCTTGTTCCATTTTCTGTCAACAAGAAATGGAAACAATTAATACGATACATCAATCGACTCATTCAAACTAGGTCAAAACAAGGGCTGGATCTCAAAAACTTCACAGACGTGTAACGCACATAGTATCATCGGCGCACGCGCCCACCCAGATCATTCTGCCAGAGCAGGCTCTGCCCTGGCGCGCACTTCAAACTACATTACATAAATTCTAAATACTAGTCACGAAGCTAGACGTTATCATTCCAGCGGGGACGATCAGCGTTCTCACCCTTCAACGTACTCACATTAAACACGGCTCAACCGAAGAAAAAGACGCAACACCACGCTTCAACTCACACCCCGAAACCAGCATGCAAGATGGCTAAATCCAACTAGACAAGAAGCGACACAAATGCAAGTACACCGTCAAAATCAAAACAGAAAAATCTCGACCAACCTTGATATAGATAGTTTCAGCAGCTCTTTCCTCCTCCTGGAACATCTTTCCGGTACTGCTCATCTCCCGCCGCACCACAGATCGTGCAAGAAGAGCCTCCCCGTTAGGGTTTAGCAGTCTGCGAGCCACCATCCTCATCGCCATGTTGTCTAACCAAAAATCCTCGTCTCTGAACGCTGAAAACTAGTGGAAAAATACCGAAACGCAAACGCGAAGATCAATCGACAGTCTCGTAAAGCAATGCAAGGAAACTAATGCCGAGAACCGATCGCCGCACGGTAATCAAGCCTCCAAGCTCTAAAATGCGAATGAATGGATACGTTGCTGACTGTGCTCCAGAGAAGCGTTGGCCCCAACAGGCCACGTGCTGCTACCGGCTCGATGGGTGAGAGATACCGCCTTATCCGGTAATCCTGTCAAGCTTTGTGGGTCTGTTTATCCCTTCGACAGTCTCGGGTGCTCTGTTGTGAACTTTGGCCCTTTTCACCCAATTCCATATTTGTGGTTATATATATATATATATATATATATATTCATATATTTACATATTTGTGGTTTTATTTTTGTATTTATATATATATATTTTTTTATTGCAGTTTTGAAACATCGTTCAAATTTGAAACCGTAAATACTTATTTCGGCTATTTCAGTGCTTCATATTCTGATCCTAGTCCTTGCTTTGAGTTCATTCTGTGAAAAATCCGATTTCTTCATGATATTCTGCTGGATACTTTAAGCCACGTTGGGTTGCCACTTGTCAATAACCCTAATAATAGTTTGTTACAAGTGGCTGGAAGCTTCTATGTGCTTGGGTTGTTCTAAGGAATTAAAAATAAATAATAAATAAAAATACAAAATTTCTTCAACGTACCTTGAAAATATAAAATTTAATACTGTTGCGATTAAAAAATTAATACAAAAAATCCACAGAAGAAGGGGAAAAAAAATCACAGGCACACACAGACACACGCACACACTGTCAAGTTCTATTTATGTGGGACATGCGGTTATAATATCATGTACAAAAGTTATTCCAGTTATCCTCGCTATTGAATAGTTTTCAATTTTTGAAGAACTCGCAAACTAATTAAAATGAAGTAACAGTTCCAACGCAGTGGGGTTAACAATGAATCGTTCCCAAAGCGGCGACTCATCCAACACACCCATCCATCCACATAACCTTCATCCAATCATGGATGGATGGAACCAGTTTATGAATGCCAACGTGATCTTCGGTTTCTGTTTGCTCGCTCGCTCGCTCGCTCCTTTGTGAAGTCTTCGTCAGCGTCGTGACCTTCGGCGACACGGCGATGGTGGGGGGTCTTCGTCGTTTGAGTCCAAGGAGCAGGAATTATTGCGTGCGGAGGAGGAGCAGTTAACGCTTGCTCTGCGACACCGATTGTGTTTTTCTAAAGGATATTGAACAAGACGCATGAGTTTTTGGGAGGGGGTTTCAACGTCTGAGGGGGATTGCTTCTAGGGTTTGGAAGTCGTAGCAGGGGACAATGTATCATCCTTCACGAGGCGGTGTTCGTGGTGGGAGAGACCGTGAGTGTGCTTTTTCTTCCTTATTTATTTATTTATTTATTTATTTATTTTTCCTTTTTCCTTGTGCGGGTTTATGATGCAGTTTCTTCTGAAATTGTTTTAGCACATGTGATGGTGAACGATGTTGAAGTCGAACAGTTGTGTGAGGTGAATGCATCGGTAGAATTGGAACTATTGAGATCTCAGATATTTTTGGACACGGCTGTCAAGGACACTTTCATTGGTTGTAATCCAGTTCTGCATTTTGTGCAATTTTTTCGTGTCTATCCTCCTTTTTAATTTTTGTTTTTGGTTTTATTATGAATGAATTTTCAATTTTCAATGGGATGCAATTATGGGACATTCAAGGTCCTCTGGACGTAAATGATATGAGGCGACTGTGTTGACATTTTTTAAACTGGGATTGGCTGCAGAGTTTAATTGGGATGATGTCAAGGCCGACAAGCACCGCGAGAATTACCTTGGTCACAGCCTCAAGGCTCCTGTTGGGCGATGGCAGAAGGGTAAGAACTGGAATAAGCTCAGTGAGACATTGCTTTTTGATCGGCTGAAAGTGAACGTTGTTATTATTCGCAGTCTCACTCTTCTTTTGTCACACGAGAACAGGTAAAGATCTTATGTGGTATGCACGGGACGGAAAGCAAACCGCTGATGAGGCAGCTGCATCAGCGCGAGAGGAAATTGAACGAATCAAGCAAGAAGAAGAAGAAGCGATGCGGGTAACGTATCAAAAAACATCCATTTCTTCAATCATACTGATTATAGTACATTGGTATTTTCTAGTGTGATCGCCCGTAGATAGCAGGCACTAACAAGCTTCTATATATTTTTTAGACCACACTGCAATCTCAATAATTGAGTGATTCGTTGTTGTTCAAAGATTACCTTGAATTCCTTGGCATCTTCGACTATTCTCGCACATCCTGTAATATTCTCTTCTCCAGGTAGCGTTAGGTTTGGCCCCTAGACGGGATAACAAGCCTAGAGGAAATAGACTCGATAAGCGGGAACAAGAGGAGCTGTTGAAAAGGAGTAAAGCCGGTGAAGAGGTTGAAAAGCCCTACGCTCAAGGCGAAAGAGTTCAAGGCCTTGGATTTGCACCGTATGCATATTAATTGAACCTCAGTTTCTCAATATCATCTATTGCTGCTGTTGTTCCTTCAACGTCTGTTAATAGTGATTCTAGTTACAACAAGCACTGGGTATCGAATATTTTTCTCGCTGTTGGTTGTTGTTGGAGTACTTGTTCTTTTGAACCGATTACGTTTTGTACATGAACTTATGAACAATTAACTTTCTCAGAGTTACTAAGGCGGAAGCGCCTGATCCGAAGCTTCTTCTTCAACGGCAGATAGTCCCAGAAGAAGAGGGTCCTTCGGCTCCGGCAGTTTCTTATCCTCACAGGCAGGAGGAGGATAAAGTGGAACAGGAGCCTCTATCTAATGCTGTGAAGGAAGATTCGCAACAATTGTCAGATGAAATTAAAATGAAACGAAGGAGGAAGGAAGAAAAGAGAGCTGCCAAGGAGCAGCGACGAGAAGAGAAAAGAGCTGCGAAGAAGGTAGATAGTTCCTCAGAATGCCCTTGTCTGGTTTCAAGCTAATCTAAATGCACTTTTGGTGTCTTACTTTGGATTCGGAGGCCACTCACGTTTCCTCGACCATGTCACTAGTGGATAGAATGTCTATGAATATAAGAACTGTGGAAAATCCTAATTATGATCTAATAGTGTATCCTAGGAACGCAGCATATAAACACGACTCTAGAGTTGGTGACTTGTAGTCCAAATTGCTGATGCAGTGTGTTGCCCCTAAAAGGTTTCGGCTATTGAAAATTTCGATAATGACTTACTTTTATGCTCCCGCAGATGCGACGTGAGAAAAGGAGACGACATGCTTCAACCAGCAGCGACGAAAAGGTGATAGATGTAGAGGGTTCACGAACCAAGTCCAAACGTCATGTGAGTGATAGTAGTGATGAAGAGCACACTTTAAGCAGGAAAGACGCAAGAGTGGAAGGTCGAGAAAATCAAAGAAATAGGAGAGGACCTACGAGAGTCAGCGGTGATGATGCAAGTCCACGGGGCGTTAAAAGGACCCATGACGGTCTAAGAAGTGACGAGAGTGATGAAGGTGTACAAGAGAGGCCCTCAGGAACTAAGGACATACCTGGACGGAAGGGTGAAAATAGCAGGGTAAGTTTAGTTAGGGATACTAGGGATGTCTACGATGGTTACAAGGCCGAGAAAGGACGAAGACCTTCGGTAGCAATCGACCGTGGTGTGGAAGAGAATATTAGGAGTAAAAGAGAGAATGAAGGTACTAGGGATGGTGAGTACGTTAAAGGTTGGATGTCCACCTCTTATCATTCTGAGCGAGATCGTAAATATGGTAGGGGTTATAATAATAGCCCAAGACAACGTTACAATTATGATGATAGGGAGGAAAGGGGAGAAAGTCCAAAAATTGATAAGTATAGTGAGGCTCACACTAGAGCGCCGGGCAGCCCAAGACTGGGACGTAATCCACATAGTGATGATGACACTAAGAGGAGGCAGGCAGGAGGTAATGAAACCAGGAGACACCAGCCACGGGATGAGACGAGTAGAAGAGGAGATGGGCACTACAGTAGGGGCAATGGGAGGTACCGCAGGCGATCTCCATCTTAAGTTTGTAGAGAATCATGATACGACTCCGATTTATAAAGACCAGATACCAGAGAATGTATTTAAAAACTGATTCATCTCGCCAGTCATGGTTGTTCGGTAAATCTGGCCTGGCAATTAGATAACATATGAAAGGTACACTCAATGTCACATCTATGAATGGTTAAGTGGGTGAACTGGAGTTGGATGTTTCTTACACTGCTAAAAGTATCTTGATCTGTATGTTGACTCTGTTCAATAGCATTCACTTCAGAATTTTTTACCTTAAAAGAATATCTTCACATTTTTCATAAAAAAACTTTGTTGCTCGTGTTTGCTTTGGAACTGACAGAGAAAAGCTCGTGTTTGAGCAAATGTAATATTGTTAATTTGGAGGAAGAAATCCTACGAGGTTCTATGCCTCTAACTTTTGGAAAACTGCGTGTAAGCACTAGTGTGGCAAGATTGATTATTCATCTGAAGTTCATGATCCCTCATCCATATGTTTTCAAAGTGGCTAATCGGGTATCCTACGAACTAAAAAATGATTGTAACAGTCAACATTATTCCTCTTGATGCCAAAAGCTAATTATCAAAATCAAAATGCTAACTTCAAAAAAAAAAAAAAAAATTGCCATGTCAATGCGTAAATCTTTTTCCTCTGGACATGAATTATATTGTATTCTCCTTACAATCGATTTCACAGTTCATCACCCGCTAGATTTACTGAAGTAGGTCAGATGTTTTTTTTGCTCGGATTTCTGATCTATTTTAGTCATTGTCTGTCTGCACTGGTGCGAAGACACTTGTGTATACGTCGCGCTCCCCTGGAACATACAAGTATGCAAGTAGCCTCGATAAGGCTACTAATCTGACTCGGCAGGGGAATTTGAACTTGATAGGGCCGTGTGTGGATTTTATTTTGCTCAGCTGACTATGATAATAACCACAGGAATCGAGGACGCAAGTGACGGAATGACAGATGTGACCACAGAGAAAAGATTGAGGGTTATTGCGCTCTAGGCAGACGCTGCAGGGGCTGGTCCGAAGGGGAGTATGTTTTCTCTGGTGTCAGGACAGCATTGATGCCAACGTAGATTGTGATTTGGCATTATTTCACAGCATCCTAATCTACCCAAAGCACACGTCTTATGCATGGGCTCTGCAATAGTGCTACGATTCCCACCACTGGGCACGCAATTGGCGCCTGAAGAAGGGGCCTCATCCGGCATCCTTCACGATCCAAAACCTCTATCCACGTAAAACCGTAATGTCGAAGGCATGACGTCACACATATATATGGGAATACCCAGAGAACTATTCCTTAATCGTGCAACACTGATACCCAATTATGTGTGTCATCATGGTGCAACTAATAAGTTATATATTGTTGCCCTGTACCGACTTCGTGCATTGAGAACTGCTTCAGTTTGAAGGATGCTCCAAAACAGCCGCCGGAAGTGCTTGATCTCGGCACGTTGGATACTTGCCAGTAATGTTCGAGCATAAAATACGACAGTAAATGACCAGGATCTCCTGTTTTCGCAGTACAGTGGAGGTTTACTATTCAGATTTGTACATAGATTGTTGGTTTTACATTATATACATATGACAGTTTTAAAATCTGACTTCGATTAAAGCTATAAAATTTAGAATCTTAGGGCTTCAAATTGCAATATGTCATTCAGGCCGCTTGAGTAGTGTGTCGTAGAACATAGGTTCTTCCTGTACATTGCTGAGCAGCTCCTAAATTTTTTAGCTCGCAGCTGAGGCTTTGGATCTAAATGTAACAGTTCTAGAGCTCTGATAGGTGTGCCCAAAGCTGCATCTTCGAGTTTCAATGGCTGAATAACATGACACTGCCTTCGTATTGATACTCAACGAGAGAGGTGACGCATATGTAAGGGATATAGAATAAATGAGATGAATCCAAATGATTAGTTTGAGCATCTAATCTAGAACTGAGAATTTATATCAAAGTTCAGTGCTCTGCCACAGTAATGGCAAGGCATAAATTACAGAGTAATAAGCGATGATCGGCATGTAACGCACTAATAGATACCACACAGCTCACAGAGGAGTGGTTTCATTCTAGAGCGGGTAATGAAACTAATACTTCGGCAAGGAAGGTCTGGCACAAGGAAAAGAAAGGTCTCTAGGATCTGCTAAGCTACGCCAGGAAAGCGATTGATCGAAGTAGCCGATGTTGAGTGGAGGTATGCTAGTGCTCTCGATCAATGTTGGTCTCCCAGATAAAAACCACCCTAGGATCATGCATGCCGCTCAAAATGGGGAAGAACCGACAGAGGAATGGAGCGATGCACTGGCACAAGGAGGGAGGGTTGGACAAGCCCAACACGACTCCTTGTACTGCTCTCTTTACCCACACAACAGAGCCATGGCTTTTGCTCAGCAGATTACTGGCGCCGATCGCAACAGCTCTCAAAGGAGAAGTACCACAAGAATCCACTAGGACATCATGTCACCCACATTCCCAGGGTTGAAGGCTATCGCTTCCATCATGATAAGCTCCTTGATGTGCTCCTCTGTGAACGATGGCTGCTCAAAATCGAACTCGAAAGGACTATGGCAGATCGGTTCATCGTTTATATCGTGCAGCGTCGCGAGGTATGGGTGCGCCAAAGCCTCCTCCACTGTGAAGGTAACAACAAGAGCAGAAGTGGCGACATTAGCGGCATGGCTGAGGGTTGATCGCAGACAAAAAAAGGTAAGGAATGAGCAACTAAGTGGATGGAACAGGACGAATGCGCGAGGGTAGACCATGAAAACCAACCTGTGATACGACGCGCAGGGTCGAACCGTAGCATGTGCTCCACTAGATCAATCGCAGCAGGCCCCATATTGGGAAACTTCCTATCTAAGGGCTGTCTGGCGAATCGAGGCAACTGTCTTATGTAACGTCTCGCGTTATCGCTCCTCAAGAACCCCAGGTCGTGGTCCTCAGGGGACCCAATTAGCTGCAGACAAAGAAAACGAGGTTCAGAAACATAATCTCGAAGACCATGTTTAATTCTACACAATCAAGAAGGGACCAAGAGAATGGACTAATTTAACAACCAAAGGAATTGTTACTACCTCTGTGATGAGGCGCAACTGTTGGACGTAATCCCTCCCCGGGAATAAGGGCTCTCTGTTCAAAAGTTCCATGAATATGCAGCCTACCGACCACACGTCAATGGCTGCGGTGTACTCGGAGCAGTTTAGTAAAAGCTCTGGGGCCCTGTACCAGCGAGTCACAACGTACTCCGTCATGAAATCAGTCTCTGAGGTTGTTCGAGCTAAACCGAAGTCACAAATTTTGAGGTCACAATTTGCATTCAGAAGCAAATTGCTCGGCTTTAAATCACGGTGAAGAACTTTCGCCGAGTGAATGTACTTGAGCCCACGAAGTAGCTGGTACAAAAAGTACTGCACAAAGTAACACAGTATCTCAAACTCCACTGCCACACATCAACAAGAAAAACAACAGTAGTGAAGAAAATCGACGAAGAAACGGTAGCAAAAAAAAAAAAAAAAAAAAAAAAAAAATCAATCAGTCACACCTGGCAGTGGTCCTCTGTCAGCGGCTGATTGCTACGAATGATCTGGTGAAGATCCGTGTCCATCAGCTCATATACAATGTACACGTCGTTGAAGTTTTCCCGGGTGGGAGGTCTAATGATGTCGCGAATCGCCACAATGTTCTCGTGATCCATGTGCCGCAGTAGCTTAATTTCTCGCAGAGTGCGCTTTGCATCAATCCTGTTGTCGAACGCGTTACCGATCTTCTTGATGGCCACCTCCTCTCCCGTTTCAGAATTCACAGCGGAACTAGCCAAGAATCATCAGCAAATCAGAAATCAGTAACTGATTTCAGGAGTTCCAGCCTCACGACTGTGACAAAGTTGAGAAGACGGGTAAAGGGGCAAATTTAGTCCCTTCGGTTCCCAGTAGAAGTGTGCCCAACAGAACCTCGAGCTAGCTCGGGAAGAAGCAGTTGCATACAATTTCACCTATTTTACAAATGCTTTTCTAAGCTCAATATGCTGGCAGAAATTAAAAGCTGCTTCCAAACCAATCTAAAACAGCACCAGTGAGTGATCCCCTCACACCCAGTCTAGGACAATGAGCCCAGACTATTCCTTAGGTTAAAAGTACGTCTGAAGACTTGTGTCCAAATTCAATCGAAGCACACATCAGACACGATTGACAAAGCCTAAACCTCACTTGGTGCCGACCGGACCAACCGGAAATAAAATGATCCAAATCTATCAGATCAAGTGGGATAAAAAAACCTGTGTGATGGACACAGACTACAGCGTACAACCCCAAATGTCACAAGTCATAACTTCAGACAAATAATCACCTTTGTCAACTTGCTGTTTGAGAATTCCACCAGCTTCTTCCTCGATGTGCCTACACGCATACCTATGAAGTAATCCTCTTTCTACACGTTTATAGTTTATACTGGAAGCCTCGGCGACTAGACAGACTCGTGAAATCTCACCACCTCACGCCAATCCCACACGCTTTTAGGTTTCGGTCCGGATCACGCCACTCAGTTAATCTCGGGATTGGCTTCACTAGCGAGAGTGCCGGCACAGCTAACAACTACTACACACACTTAAACCCCTCTCCGCGAGACGAGATAGGCACGGCTTCACTCTCTGTTAGAATGGCAAGAAATCACATTCACCATAGCACCAAGGCAAAAAGCGCGTTTTGCTACAGTTTCTGAGCCCAGAAACAAGCTCCGGCAGCGGAGCATCGATGAGCGATCCTACCCGGCTTTCACCACCACCACCACCTCTGATCCGCAGCGATTAACAAGCGCCTCCCACAGTGAAGAGCGCTACACCCGCGAGCTCATGGACCCAAGGTCAGACACTCACCACACAATGCCGTAGGCGCCTCGGCCGATGGGGCGAATGGGCGGCACATACTTCCTAGACACCTCAAACAAGTTGCCGAAGATGTTGTACTGCGTGTACTCGCCGTTGTGCGTGGGCACTCCTTGTATGTTCCCGTCCGCGGCCCCTCCCCCACCTGCGCCTGCAACGTCCATAACTCCGGCACCGCGCCCTCTCTCTCTGTCTCTCTACCTCGCCGACTCACAAACCCTTTTCTCCCCTTCCACCCGTCGCTGCAAATCTCCGTCACCAAGCTCCGTCGCGACACGTCAAACACCCTCACTCTTTTCCCTCTACATAACACGAGAATCCCTGCCCAGCCCCCGACTCTCGCTCAACACCCCAACACAGCTTCCCGAGCGTCAGATGAATCCAGATATGTTCACCACCACCACGCTAGCTTGAACGCGCCCACATCTCCTCCCACCCACCTGACCCAGAAAAGGTCGAAAAAAACGCTTGTTTCAAGCAAGCAAAGCGAGACGGTGGGATCCTGAAAACGCAGGCCCTGTAACCGAGACGCTAGTTCGAGAACGGCGAGGAGCAGGATCAGAAGAAAGCGAAAGCGAGATGCTGGTGGTGGTGATGGTGTAGCAAGAGCTAGAGCAGGAGCAGGGGCGATCCATGCCGACGGGCCGTCGTCCATGACGACGTCGACGAAGACGACGAAGACGACGAAGCGCTACTGGGATGACCACTGTTACCATTCTCGCCCAGAATGGGCAGGTATACCCGGGTCGGGTATGGAAGGATCAGTCCGGGCTTGTGTCAGACCCGACGGAGATGGGTTCCGTCGTCGGTCAGTCGTTCAGTTTTCGTCGCCCTCCGTCGGAGACCTCGCCGGGGATTTATGGATTTGTCCAGATATGCTCAGTTGCTATGCAACTCTCATGTTCAGTTCCTTTTTTTTATATTTGTTTATTTGTTTTGCATGTTTATTTTTCAAAAATACACATTTTTAGACCTTTATTTGGGTTGATAATCTTTCCTTTCTTAAATAATGAAAATAATTGAAGTCAAAGTTTTGCCGTTTCCATTATAAGCAATTTATATCATAACATGGAAGAGTAAGTGAAAACCCAAAAATTTGTTTTTCAATTCTGTTTAGCAGCCAAGAGTGGAAAACTGCCAAGAGTTTTTTTTTTTTTTTTTTTTTTTTTTTCCTTCTCTCTTTGATGATTTCAATGCGGAATATACACTAGAGACAAACCCATTATTGGATAGCATTTTTTTCCTGTGGTGTTGACTTTTTGAAATTGTACTTTAAAATTGGTCTTTCCCTTTACTAAATAAATAAATGAATGCTCAACAGTTTAAAATGAGAAAATTGTATTTGGAACCGCAAAGTCAAGAGGGATTTGCTAGGAAGCTGCTTCTGGAATGAAGTTGAAAAATGTGTTGCACTCTTCAACTTCTATCAATCCTTGATGCCAAAAGAAATTTTGTCATGGCCGAAATATTTCTCTATATTAAATAAACTAAAATAAAATAAAAAGAATAGGGGGTTGGTGATGTCATTATGATGCATTTAGTACAATGTTCCTTTACCATGTGGCATGTGGAATGAGGTTGTACTCAATGCACATGGTATAAAGTTTTTTTTAGCTTTTGAGAGCCTTTAATGGCAATCAATAATAAAAGGGGGTTTTTATGAAGAATGCTTGACATCATTCATATCCTTTGCATCACATTGGAAGGATTCAAAATGTAGAATTTTAAAATATGTAAGAACTCAACCTAATCAACTACACACATATCATATACTTTTTTGAAGTTATGATGTTCTAATGATGAGAGTATAGTTATTTTTGGAATTTGGGTGGGGGTAAAATGAAAGGTGTCAAAAAAATAAATTATATTTTATGTGTTCAATAGTGAATATATATATATATATATATATATAAGGTGTTGCTAATGTACAATTTACCATTCACCAAATGCTACTATCACCACAATTTATTCTTATTAATTTCATATCGTTTTTTTAATAAAAAATTTAAAATTTAAAAGAAAATATGTATTAAAAATATTAACTTGATTTTTTTTTGGAATAAAAATAAAAATACAACCAAAGAAATATATTGAATGGGTGACAAAATGAGGTGAGAGCACAAAAAATTGCCATGGCCTTATCAACACCATGTATGTATATGTATACATATCTAATAAATATAGGTAACTATTTTGTTGTAGTTGCTTGAAACTTACATCGTCAATCTCACATCATTAATCTGTAACAATATGCTACACTTGCACATGCATCATAAAATGATATCAAGAGGCAAGCTTAGGCATAGACACATTCCAAATTGTATCACTTTCATGATATAATTAAAAGGGTTTCAAATAATCTAAGCATATGATTGATATTTGGCATCCTCCTACTGATGTTCAAAACTTAGTTTATTTCTGTTGGGTTTTTTTCTATTGTTTTTGTTTTTGTTTTTGTTTTCTTATTCTTTTTCAAGGTTTTCTAATCTACTCTTCATAATCCTTGAATTCTACTTTTTGACCTGAATGAAGTTTGTTACACACACATGCATAATTTCTCTACATAATAAGTAAAGAAACTATTTTTTTTTTTTTTTGGATACACAATAGCAAAATGATATTTACCATATACATTTATAAATATCCATTACAGTACACAAGTGGATTTATTTTTTCCAAACTCAGTGCACAAAAGATTTTAATTAAATGACATAATTATAAAATGAAGTATAGAAATGTTCACACACAAACATATTACTATTCATATGTGATTTATTTTGCATCACTAGAGTAATTTGCGTTATTAGAATTTAGCCTCAGAAAATTAAATTCTCCATAAATTTTTCTGAAGATTAATATCATGAAAGGATTTAAATGTAACTAAGATTAATTAATCAATCAGTTCTTTTTATTGTAATATAGTTACAGAAAGTCATTGGCATAAATGTTGCCATTTTATTTATTGCTCTGACATTTACTTATATAATCGAGAATACTAAAATTTGTATCATTATCTTGATTTCTAAACCATCTATTTAACTATTTAAAGTTTCCACTCCACAAATCATAGTAGAATGAACAATTTACTCTAGCAGTGCTGGGTTTCGATCCTTGGACCTGTGGATTATAGTTATTATTTTTTTATTTTATTTTTTACATGAGTTTATTGAACATTAAGAAATAGTAGGTAGGTAAAATGTTGTGCACACCATTGATGCCTTTTATTTTATTTATTCTTTTCATGTAACTTTTCATACCTTTATGTAAGGAGATTTAAGATTTCATGTAGTTTTTAAGGTTATTTGTCAAACTTTCGTTGATGTAACCTTTGGAGTATATACGTTCCATATTCGTCTTCTTATAATTATACCAGAGAAAGTTCCTGATTTTTTAAAAAATTTATTTCTTAATATTTTCACAAAAGATACTTTTTGAAAATATCAGTGGTAATATTTAAATAAAATTATGTATAACCATGATCAAATGTTAATGGAATTCTGGTGTATCCTTAATGATTATTATACAAAAATTATTATAGTGAAATAAGTATGTCGTTTGTATGATTAAATTTTCAAATAAAAAATTAACGTATTTTTGGTTCATCACAATTTCACACTCTGTTTGAATGTTACATTGGATTGTACACTTGGCTTGATACTATTTTAATGGGGTTAAGCTGGTAATGTTTGATAGATTGTAATTTACCTTCAATAAGTATTAATATAAATAATGAATATTGTATATTATATGTATGGTACACCAAAAGAAGACATTGACAGTTTTTTGGTGTTTATATTGATAGTTTCATCTACTCCAAAATCATTGAGCTCATTCCACCAGTGCAACAAATGAAAGTCACAAAAATTTAAGATCTTTTGTGGGTGTATGTGTTTGAAATAGATCCCACAATTAACAATGAAGTATGTCAGATGTGGAAGATGCCTTCCAGGATTAAATAGTTAAAAACTCAAATTTGTATCATTTCGAATAATGTAAAACACTATTAATGACTAAGCTGTTCAATAAATATTATTAATTTATGTTAAGGACAACATAAAAAGTATTATATATATATATATATATATATATGTATAATTTTAATTCAATGATATCTTAATTCTTTTGACTTTTTATGATGAAAATAATTTCTTCCTAATTGCAAAACCTGTTGCTCAAGGAGTTGGTAAAATTGATAAGAAATTTATGTAAATATAAATAAATAAATATTGGTATTTTCATTTTTGATCTTGATATGAATTGTAATTGTTTAAAAAAATTATCTCTAAATTTCGTTTTAATAATAATTTTTTTTTTTTTTTTATCCTTTGAAATTTTCATAATTTAATTTTGATTGATTTTAGAATATGAAACATTTTCTAGTAGTAGCTGAAATTAGTGGAAAAAAAAGTTGGACCATTGTTCATTTGATAACCATTTGGTTTTGATTGTTTAAAAGAAAAATAAAACAGGAAGAATTAGTTTGTTTGTTGTTTGTTATGGTATTGATTTTTTTTTTAATCTCTTTTTGTATAAAATGTTGTGCTTTTGGCAAAGTAACTGATCCCAAAAAAAAAAAAAAAAAAAAAAAAAAAAGGAAAAAAAAAGAAAAGAAAAGAGTAATATATATTTTAAAATTAAACACAAGGGCTACAAAAAATGTTAGCATACCAAAATCACATAAAATAATGATAATTGAACAAATAATATTAAAACAACTATGGTTTGATGACAGTAAATACTTTCAAAATATTTTGTCTAGATTAGACTTCAAACCACAACATTCAAAACATTACCATTCAGTCCGTGGTGTCTCTCACAAACCCACTAAACCTTAAGCTGTACAAAAGCTTGTGATTAGTAGGACGAAATTGGGAACGAGTTAATAATTCCTGTAAAATTCATTACACATGTTTGAAATATTAAGTTTGTTAGCAGTTTTTTTAATGAAAGCCCCAGGATGGAGTTATCATCTTGGAGGTGTTCCACAACATCGGAGAATCACACAAAAATGCAAATATCTGAGTTTAATGTGATGGAAGGTGACCACCCACCCACACTCACCAAATCCTTTGCACACGTTTCTACAGAGGTATCTAAAAAATCATAGCAAAAAAAAAAAAAAAAAAAAAAAAAGCAACACATGACAAGTGCACATATCCTTGCTACTCTTATAACAACAGTCTCTGTTTGTCACTGCTGCAAAATACATACATACTCGGATATATCTATATATATATATATATATACATACTCGGATGCTAATTACTCTACTGAGGATTGGGAGGCCGGCTATTCGCAGCGGCCACGCGCGAACCCCACTCTAGAAGCTCTTTGCTGGTATCATCCCTGTGCACCATGATCTCGATGAAACACAGGTGGTCTTTCTTCTCTCCTTGTGCGGTAGCAATCGCATCGATGAGATCATCCTCAGTTCGCACCTGCATTGCAAGTTCACAGCTTAGAACCATTATCAGTGAGGGACGTTGAACAGATGCTAGCAGAACAGTTCCGTGTTGAACAGATGCTACCAGGAGCTACTGAAGCCACTTAAACTAGATTTTGTGGAACAAGAGCTCTTGAATTCAGACAAAAATTGTACCTTGCAGGTCCAAAGTTTGCCTTCGCCGTTGTGGAAGGCTTCCACCACTCCAGTGTAGTTCCAGTTCTTGATGATGTTGTATGGTCCATCATGGATCTCGACCTCAATGGTGTAACCACCATTGTTGATCAGGAAGATGATGCTTCTCTGCCCACATCGTATCATCGTCGACACATCTTGCGCCGTTACTTGAAAGCTCCCGTCACCAATACATGCGATCACTCGCTTGTTCGGCGCTCCTTGTGCGTAACCCAAAGTGGCGCCCACAGACCACCCTATGGACCCGTATTGCATCTGAAACTCGTAGCCGCAGCCATCGGGTAGCTTCAGTTTCTGGCAGTTGAACCACGAGTCGCCTGTTTCGGCTATGACTGCAGTGTGACGTGATAGCATCCCCTGATGTCAACAAGCTTATGTGAGTTTTCACTGGGAAAGTTCTGAAGACATGAAATGCGTGTAAAGTAACACTAGGTCAAGTGATTCTGGGACTGTGAGCTTGAAAATTTGAGAAGTGAAATGTACCTGAATGTGCTTGTAAAGGTTGACAGTCTTGAGAGACTCATTAGGCTTCTGCTTCAATGGCACGCCAGGAGGGACATACATGCGCAAGTAGTTGTCGAATGAAGTCGTGTTTCGCTTCACTTTCTTTGCTAGTGCCAGTAGGAAGTCCTTCATCAGCACACACCCGAACGACGACCCGTTTCCAATAGTGACTCTCTCAGGTTGCACGATGATCATCTTCTCTTTTTTACACAAAAGCGAGTACCCTACGGAACTGCATGAATTAAACCAACACTTGATTCAATTTCCCGACTAGGTCAAAGCAGAGTTTCGGGCAAAATAAGAAATAGCACGAAGAATAAATTGTTGCGCAGCCCCATAGATGAGCCAAAGGATTGATAGGCGAGACAAACCCACCTGTAGTCGTTGAAGATTGGCCCAACAAAGACGTAGATGTCGGCAGATTCCACAATCTCCGACACATATGAAGTGCTGACCGCACCCCAGTAGGTGCCTACGAAATGCGGATGTGTCTCTCGGAAGTGGCCCTTCCCTGATGGCATGACGGCCACAGCATACCCACTTGCAGTCGCCAATGCTTCAAAAGCGTCAATGGCTTTTGCAATTCGAAGATTTGGGCCGGCAATGAGGACAGGCTTGACCGCTGTATTTAAGATCTCAGCAACCGTATCCAAAGCACTTTCGAGGCACAGTGAGTTGGTCTTCAGCATTCCGATTCCGTATAAGCTACAGAGACATTGACATCAGTCAACCAGCTTAATATCAGGCATGTCCTCTGAGAGAATCTGCATGACGATTACGAAGCTACGCAACAGTTGCAACGGCTAAGAGGCAGCACAATGCGCCAACCAATGCTAAAGACATGAGCGAGGATACTGACGGTTTTGGACAAGAAATTCATAGGAACAAAATTCAGCACGTACCGGCTTGTGACCTCGGTACCCTGAGTGATTGAGTAAGGGATGGGCGAAATCTTAAAAGACGGGTGTGGAAGCGAGGGCAGATTGCAGCTGACGCTCACATAGACGGGCTTGCTCTTATTCAAGGCTGTGGATATGGCTCTGTCCAGAAGCTCGTGTGCATCGTCCAAATTCTGTATTACAATCTGGACATAGATTGTGCATTCGTCAGACGGAACTAGCCTCCGCAAACCACCGAGCCTGCGACTTTTGTTCATAAACAAGCAAGCTTAACCTGTCAACAAGCATGATGGAAGTGTCTTAATCTCAAACCTGTGCGCATGTGATTTGCTGAAAGCATCGATGCTCTTGACCAAAGTCCGGCTCTCCGATCGTGTGGTGGATTATTCGGTTCGTCCCGAAGTCATTTGAGTTTGGCCCACCGACAATGCAGATGATGGGTAAATTCTCGCTGTAAGCACCGGCTATGGCGTTGATGACGCTTAATCCTCCCACAGTAAATGTTACCACGCATGCACCGACCCCATGAGCTCGCGCGTACCCATCAGCAGCGTATCCCGCGTTTAATTCATTGCAACATCCCACGAGCCTCAGTTTGGGTTCAGCGATTAAGTGGTCAAGTAGAACCAAGTTGAAGTCGCCGGGCACGGTAAACACGTCACGGACGCCGATCTCAACGAGTCGGCGAGCGATGTAGTACCCTAATGTCCCTTCCGTCTCCGACACAACGTCTTCAATTACCTTCATTTCCCCTTTCTTCCCATTCTCCCCAGCCATTTCGACTCGGCAGAAAACTCACACCTCACAAGCCTTGCTTGATAGATGAGAATTTAGATCCCTCGATTCAATCTGATAGAACAGTCAAGGAATTCAGCTTCATCACGTGCAGAACACTTGGCCAGAATTAACGATCTCTTCAGTGAAGCATTGCAATCCCAGTACTTTACCCATAAACTGTGCATTGATTAAGAGGATCGGAATCGACTAAATCTTAATTAGAAATTCCGCCGTATTATCCCACCAAACGAACCCTCCCAACTGCATGGATACGATCTAGACGTCCATAACTGCGAGGCAGAGGTGAGAAAAGCGGACATTGTTCGTTCTCGAGGGGTTAACAAGCAATGGCCTAAATTTTGATCGTGCACAAAAGTTTCAGTAGTTTAAAAACATGTTGGAATAGGTGCAAACGCGGGACCTCAACTCCGCTACGAAAGCACAAGCACTCCTGAGTGAGCATTAACAACGAGAGTGCACATGTGCTAACTCTGATTTTCATTGCCAAGTTTATCACTCCAGCATCGCATCTCGCCACTTAAGAACGAAAGAATATCAAAGACAATACGCACATGCTGATCTCGTAATTAAGTAATCACTTTCGCCTGCCTCAGGTGTTAAACGCGCGATCTCTCCTTCTCTCTCCTTCTTACAGGACCACTTTAAATAGTAAGCTGCAGGTTGCGACATCTGTTACTCGCGCGACCCCTAGTCCAAAAGAGAACAAACAGAGGTACAAAAAAAAAAAAAAAAAAAAAAAAAAACCAAGAAAAACCAAGAAAAAGAAAGCCTGCAAACAAACACACAGGCTGGCTCTACATTCACCCATATTCTCTTCGACAGCACAAACTCCCCAGATCACCAAATTTACCTCAAAGCAGAAGCAGGAGTAGCAGTAGCATCAGCAGCAGCATCGGCAGTAAACTACAGACAGGCAGAGGCATGTGGGGCTGTCTTGTCACCTTTTCTTCCGAAAGGGAAGATATAAACAACGAACGGCTCATGCAGATATTCTGGATTGCTCCATTGTAGCTGACAGAGCAGGACACCAGACTGCTGCCACACGGCGAGCCACAAAATAGCCCCCTTTAACAAGGCGAATTTGATTGCGGAGTCATCAAGAATAGAAACACAGGCCCATGGTACGTAGTGCCATCAGGGCTGGCGAGTGCAGTGCAGTGCAGTGAGCTACTACTGCATGACTCAGGTAGCCAGAAAGCTCCAAATCTCGTAGTTGTTAGGAAACAGCGATGGCGAGTGTGGAAACTGCGTCCCATCACCGTCTCCATCCCTTGACCCCCCTGCTCATCCTTCTCACCACGCTGCCTTCTTCTACTGCTTCGTCTGTAACGGCATTCTGCCATCACACCCCCACACCAACCAGCCCACATCAGTAGTAGCTACTTCTAATTCTTCTTCCTTTTCAATTTCTTCTTCCTTCTCTTCTGCTTTCTGGAACACATGTTGTGTTGCGATCTTGTGATCTTGCATTGCATTGTCTTGCAGCGCATGCCATGCACGTGGAGCCGCAACCTGATTCTGGGTCCAGGACATGAACCTAAGTAGTGTTGCCTTGTCTCGTCACCTTTGCTTTGGATTGCGTTCTGGTTCTGTGTTTTTTTCATGGAGGAGTTGAGTGGTGTGTTGTTGATAGTGGTATACCTTGCCACATTTAAGAGGATGGGTATTGTTGCGAACACGGATTAGTAAATAAATAATGTTGTGGCGAAGATAGTTGAGTGGGAGAATGTCACATGGAAAGGTCTAGTTGCAAAATGAACGTGGCAAGAGAAAAGGCAATGTTGAAGTTGTAATTTGTGTGTGTTTTTGTAAATTTAAATGATCAGGTGGTGTGCGATTTTAGTTTCACTCAGCCTTAAATAGATTAATCTAATTGACTTGTTTGATTTCAATCAAATTTAACTTCTCTTAACTTAATATAGTTTTTTTTTTTAAAAAAATTAAAAGTCATTTTTATAAAAATGTTTTCTGTTTCGATACCAAATTTTGCAAATGTGTTGTGGAACTAGTATTAAGTATTATGTGTTTTTGAACAATTCTTAGAGTATGTTAGTCTTAGTAGCCAAAAATAGTATGCAACATTAAAATTTTACAACCACCCATAGATATGGCCTATGTTGGAATATACCTAAGTACATCCAAACATTACATGAGTGTTGCTTATGAATAAGTATATTAAAAATATATATATATATATATATATATATACACACACATTAAAATATTAGTAGAAGATAATTTTGTTGCAGAATCATTTGATGTTAGATAATTACCTCAAATTTTATTATGTTTCTTTTTGAACTCATAATCTTAGGAAATTATACTGATTCATGTGATACTTTGAAAAAAAAAAAAAAAAAAAGTTAAAGCAAAAAAATTCCAAAAAATTGGCTTTTGTTTTTATGTTGTGAAATACTTATAATATATATATATATTTTTAAATAAATGATATTAAGGAAATTGTGTCTAATTTCCTATAGGCTTAATTTTCATCTATTGCCTAATCAAGTTTATTTTAAAATAATATCTATATAAAGATAAGAAATTAATTATTTAAATATTTTTTTATATAAAGATAAAATTATTTATAAATTTTTGTATACGTATTGTGTATATATTTTGTATAAATATCCTCAAACTCAAAAAATAAGTGACATCAAATCAAATATTTTAATTTAAAAAATTATTTATATATAAATAAAGAAATAAATATAGACTCCGCAAAGATTAGCTTCACAGATTTTTTGTTTACTTATTTAATTAATTGAAAAGCCCAAATATTATGATAGTTAGTAGAAATTCTTAATCATTATTTACTTAATAAAACGTAAAAAAACACATTTATTAAACTGATTTTACACGAAGTTGTAAATGAGTTCAAATAATGGTTTCACATTCTTTTGACAATGAGAAAAACTATTTAACTTAAAGGTCAGTAATGCTCAACTTATTAAATGATATAGTATTTTATAAAGTAAAACACAATTTTCTTAATTTCAATTAATATAAATTTTGATAGTTTTTAATCAATCTAACTAAATTATAAGAGATGCAATTTGATGAATCAATAAAAACCAAAACATTTGTACAAAAAATTAACAGGAAGCAACCATATATATATATATATATATATATATACACACACACACACATATAACCAAAAAAAATAGAAAAGAAAGTCAAATCATAATAAAATAGCAAGATGTTTTTATGAATTGTATAAAGGTTGGAAAATAAAAAATTAAACTAGACTTAAGAAAATAAAATGATAATAATATATTTATAGATTTCTATGTGATTGTATAATTTAACAAAACATGTGATAAAGGTCATGTAAATCTTTCTACCTTCTTTCTTTCTTTCTTTCACAAAAATTGATCAAATTTTAAAAATCTTATTGCACAACTCTTTATAAATTAGAATACTTCTTTAGGTGTATGTGTGTGTATATATATATATATATATATATATAAACATATGTAGGTATTGCTAATGCCACCCCAAGTTTTGGTACTACCACCTCCACTCATTTGCCATACTTATTTAGTTTTTTTTAATTACAATACTAAAAAAAATCATTTCAATAAATTGATCAATAAATCAATAAGAATAAGAAGTTTTTTACAAAACATTATTGTAAAAAAACTTATACTTGTTTTTTAAAAAGCTCCAAAAATTCAAAAAAAATTGTACTTTCTTATTTAATATTAACTAAGGATGTGAGTGGCATGTGGTGGATGGAGATTGTAATGGTTGTAGGAATAACTATGGAGACATTAACAATAGCCTATATAAATATAAATCAATAATATCTTCTTGAAATAATACTAATTATACTATTTATTAAAAGCTATCATTTTGTGCCTTTTCAACCACTTTGCTTGATATTAAAATAAAAAATATAATGTTTTTAAAGATGCATTGTTAATATAAACTTAACATATGAAATTGCTCAAGTTAATTTTTTGTTTTATTTTTAAATAGTAGAAATATTAAAAAAATATTTAAAAAAAAAAAAATTCTTGTACAATTATTATTTAATATATTTTAATAAATAAAAAATCCTTTTCTATAAGCTTATATCTAAAAAGAAAATAAATCTAACAAACAAATTCTTATGCACTTTACAGTATTTTATATAATAAATTATAAATTATTTCACTACATAAGTTGTAACTAATTGATTAATATTGATTAACTAATTGATTAGATATTATTTATGTGTTACATTAAAATGTAAATATAAATATTTTATTTCTAAACTAATTATTTTTCAACATAATAGTTTTACAATGTATTTTACAAGTTTTGTTCTTGTTTTTAATTTTAATTAGCAAAGTTGACAATTAAAATAGAGAATTGCTAAAACCACTAAAGATTTTGTTGTTGCCACCACAATCCACCATCCACTCCACACATCTCTTTAATTTTTTTTATTCTAATAAAAATTTATAAAAAATTGAATTTAATTTTAACATAAATATTAAAATGTTAATAATAATAAATTTTGGTGACAGTGGCAAAAAAACTGTGGTGGATGGCAGATAGTGGTGGTAGTACAATGAAAAATGCTTCATTCTAACCCTCAAGTGACATACTTGCTCATCTGTAAACACTTCGGTTAACAAAAACTCACAAGCTGGTCCAAATAATGAATCCTCTTGATGTGAAATCCACTTTATGTCTGAAGATCTTCAATTTCTCAAAAATTCCCAGTGTTTTAAGTTAAACACTAACAGTCACCAGAATGTAGGGCGTTCCACACTGGGAAAATTGCCCTAAGCAGCCACAATATCCTCTGACACCTTTATTTGATGAGAGCTATGTTTTAAACATCAGCCCTCAAGGATGGAAAGAAATGCAAGCCTGGTGCAAGCCACATTTCATCAAATACACATTCAGCATAGTAAATTATGACACAGTTTTAAAGGCTTACTTTATATTAGAGAATCATGCTTATAATGTTTTGGGATTGGTGACTTTCAGCATTCAACAATTGGATAAGGATAAATGTGTACGGTATTACAAAGATGAGGACCAAATTTCAGTTGGAAGACAACATTGCAACTCCAGACAGTCCGTATTACACCTAATTACAACTGTCGCATGCGTTACAATATGATGATACTGTTATTGAAATTCGAAAGTACTTGAAGTATGATGAGAAATGACTGAAGATACATCACTAGCTACTTGTATGAAGATTGCATGTTGAAAGTTCTCCTGTTGATTAAGCAGAGAGTCTTCAACACCTTCTCTGTGAAATGAGTTAACTCTGCAATCTGGATGGCTTGGGTAGTGAAGAACAGAAAATGGATCCAAACCGATCCTTATCTCGGGGTCATGCAGGTGCTAAGTATGACGGCAAAAAAGACATGGTTCTTGGAACTGTGACAATTAAGATAAATAGAATAGATAGATAACCTCAATTCAATTTACATAATACAATACACGCTACAGCTCTCTCTTAGTGCTGGCAAGATCTAAACACCGCATCGAAAAAGGCTACTCTAGCAATCCCTGTTGAGAACTTTTGACCCGAGGACCTTCTCTACAGGGAAGAGCATGTGCTACAACTACTGCAAGAAATACCCAGACAGGAAGAGAGCAAAGAATGCCAAGAGGGAACCGTAGATTAAGAGACTCTTCTGTCCCGAAGTCAAAGTGTTTCCACCGAGACCGAATTGTTGGTTCTGGGCAAAACCGGCCACCTCTACACTCTTCGGTTGGTAGTATGACTTGGCAGCACCGCATGTGGGGCACAGCCAATCCTCCGGAAGATCACGGAAATAGGTGCCTGCTGCCACGGGGTAAGATGCGTCTCCCTTTGCTTCCTCGTAGACATGTCCACACGACCGGCACTCGTATGCACCGGTATTGAGCACGGCGAATTTCTCCTCCAAACCTGTCAAACCCACCACTCTTCGATGAGATTGAAACAATTCCACATCCATACAGGTCTCTGAGGAATACGCTGTCACATTTTCAAAGAATATCTAATAATCATTCAAACCTGAAGCATACAGTAGACATGATACTAATTTGATAAGTTACATTCAGAATTTTGAATGTAGCCATTTTACGAGGGCAATTAGGTCAGACCAATTACGGCTCATCTCATGTGACGTTAGACCCACATTCAGGCTAGACATCCACAACACCCACCTTCACGAGAGCTCAGAATACTTTTAGATTTAGCCTCCTTCAAGGTTTCAAGATTCGACATGGTTTCCTGCAGGGCTTCCTGCATTACTCCCTGCTCTTTCTGCTCGGTCTGCTGCTGCTCAACATTGTCCTGCTCGCTGTCAAACACAAACTCAGCTCTAATTACTGTAAACATAATTACTAAACCACTAAGACATCAAAAGTGCGCGACAACAAAAGAATTCATCTAACAGGTTCACAGAAAACGAAGACAAGCAACGCTGGAATCATACAGCTACTGGGTACACTCTCGACAGGCTCGATCTGTAGAATAGACAAAATCGCCTCTAATTTACTCTATGACACGAAACAAGCCGAGGGGTTCCACATCCTCACACACAACAACAAAAACCTTATCGAGACTGACCAAGATCACTGAAATTCGACAACAACCCCAGGCACATTCCCATACCCAACATCATATTCAACCCCTAACACCTCCAAAACGTGCAGGAAAATACCGAAACTCATCACATTCCATTCCATCTCAGGTCAAACGAAGCGAAAGTCAACTCACCGCAGCAACAACAACACGTTTCCGTTGAGGCGAGACAATCGTCACGGGGCCCAATCCGGGCAGCAAGACGCGCCCATGGGTAGCGCGGATGCTGGCCCTGGCGCTGCGGTTCTGGAGCAGCAGAGCAGAAGGCGACGCAGCGAGGGCAGCAGCAGCGGCAGCAGCAGCGGACGCCATTGAGGGAGCAGAGATGGAACCCGAAGAGCAGGACCAAGTAATTCAATTGATCGATCGATTCGTGGTGCAGCGTTGTGCTGGTGGCGATGGCGACGGCACTTACACGACGCCGGCTCTGGTGCTCGCGGGCGCCACGCTCATCCCTTTCCACCGGATAGAATAGAGCGCGACGCGCACGGTGATAGGGCCCGCCAAGCTTTCTACCGTCTATATGTTATCCACAGGGCTGGCTGACCCCACCACCGCCTCCCATGGCCCCACTCCGCACCTCCCTTAGTGAATATGCCCCCCCACTCCCTCTCCCTTTCGTGTCTTTGCTTTCTTCTTTAAAGTTACTTTTCTGATGTATAAACAAATCGTGTTAAAATGAAAATTCTCATGGGAGTTTAATTGCTGTGAAAGATATCTTTTTTCAGTTTTAAATGATAAAATGAGGGAATCTATTGAATGGGTTCTTAATGAATATAAGGTTTGTTTAGTGTGTTGATTTATGCTTGTGGAATGACCCCTTTGGAAAAAGATGAAAGTGCTGAAATGCTTGCAAAATTTATTTCCAGCTTTTATGCTAAAAACAATCACATTCATGTTGAACACCCTCTCGGTGACATACAAATGGGATCAAAACTCTAGTAAAAGATATAAAATTTGGTGATTAACAAACTGAAATTTGTATTCATTAATTACTTGAATTTTTCAATCTATTAAAAAAAAATGATTTTGAATTATTGCATCAAAGAATGCTAAGCGCTGTCATGATGTAATACGACTATATAGTGAAATTATAATCAAAATTGAATTTCTAATTAATATCTAATTATCTTAGTTTAATTATAATTTGAAGTAACTAAACATGGCTTTTATAAAAGCCTCTTAGGTTATTTTCTTATCTTAATAATTAGTAGGTTGAAGGTTAGTTAGTAATTTTACCTTCTAGGTTGTAGAGACTCTTTTACTATCTTAGAAAGACCATAAATTGATGAAATCAGGTTAGAAGAGGTAAATAATTAGTATAGTTGGTACTAGGGTTAAGTTGAGAATAGGGTTGGGCTAAAAAATTCTTAGGATATGATAGATTGATACCTAGGGATTGACCGTTTGAGAGATAGGGTCGAAATCAGACCTCTGGCCACTAAAACGACGGCCTAGGGCAAAATAGGGATTCATTCGAAGATCGAAGGTTAGGGTTTGAGAGCTAGCTTGAAGCTCTTTCTAAAGAAGCAAGAATCTTTGTGAGAGGGTTTTGGAGGATTTAGCAATTGTTGTTCAAAGTCAGGGTTTGTATGAGTGATTTGGATTTTATATAATATAATTAGGATTAGTAATTTTGGCTAATTTATGCAATTGGCATGACATCTATAGTTGAAAACTTGATATTATTTGGATTATTAGGTTTGATAAGTGTATACAAAATTTTGTAATAATCTAACAGCGTGGTTTAGAGATATCTAGTTTTTAGCACAAGAGGGTTTCAAAAGGTGGCAATTTGAGGTTGGGTAGGATTTCTATGATATCTAAAGATCTATCAGTCGAATTAAGGTGAAAATTGGCATGGTGTTGGAGGACTTAAATATCAAGCTACACACCAATTTTGAGATAAAGTTAACAGTTAAAGAAGGAGAAATCATTGCTGGGATTTCTACTTTACTTTTCAAGTTGGTGGCCGGGTGACATTGGTGCAATTTTTGGAGGTTCTCTCACAATTTGTAAGGTGGATTGGGCTAAAAATTCTTTAGCATTTAGAAGACTTGCATTGACAATTGTATGCAAAATTCGACATCAAGTGCATGGTCGGATTGGATGTTACAGCTTGTTAAAAATCACTCATTAGGATTGGGATTTATAAGAAAAAATCTAAATTGCTTAAATATGAAAGTAACAAAGTAATTGGGATTTATGTATGGTTAAGACTACTAAGAAGAGTGTTTTAAGTACTTTTGAATTGAAATTCAGATTATATTCTTCTCACATGGGTAAAACCTATTAGGATTTCTTGGCTACTTGTGAAACATAATCTCACCTTCCATAGCTAAGTGCCCGGTGCATTCTTGAGCAAAACAACACGTAATACGACAGCGCCAGCCAAAACAAAGACCAAACATTGATTCTTGTTATCTATAGTTAGACAAGGTCTTGAATTGGATATTATATAACTATCAACTACAAAATAATATATCAAATCTATAAGTATTTACAATAAAATTAATGGATTGACTAATTTAGGGTTAGAAAAGGCATGACTATAAATGTGATTATAATTACATTATACTCCATATTAAGCCACAAAACTATTACAAATCCAAAGATTATATTGTTAGATATAAATATAAATAAGAAATTGGACAATACTAGAAATAACTTGAGTATGGTAATAGAAATGACCAGTGTTTCAAAGACCCATATAATAGCAATAGAGATGATGTTACAGCTATACATATTCATATTATTAAAAAAGAATTAAGTAAAAATAAATAAAAATAGATAAAATTGATATTATCTTGTAGATAAATTTTTTAGACATAGATTTATCTTTACAAGTATTTTAGGTGATTGTTAAGTTGAAAAATTGGCTAATAAGTTGGCCACTTGTTGCACATACTGACCACTTGTTTTTATAAGTTGGCTACATATTACACAAGTTGGCCACTTGTTGCACATATTGACCACTTGTTTTTATAAGTTGGCTATATGTTACAAAAGTTGGCCATGTAGTGTACATATTAAAACTTGCCTTATAAATTAGACAAGTCTTGTATTATTCATAGAATGTCACTACATAGCTCCTTAATTAAAGAGTATATATAGAAGTGTCAAGAATATAAATTACAATCAATCAAAGAGTCACTATATTCTTATATTATTAGAAAATAATAGATAATCATTCAAAGATGGTATAATATTAAGACTCAAATAGTTATTGCCAAAGACATGAAGACTAAAGACTCTTGAAACAAGACCAAGAATAATAAAAATATTGATAAGAGTGAGAAAGGCCTCACTCTTGCCTCCATATATACTATTTAATTAAGAGCTATATAGCTACATCCTATAGGACATCTAACATTCTATAAGATCTCTACTTATAAGATATTTATCTAATTTGTAAGATAAGTTTCCTACATATATACTACATGGCCAACTTGTACTACAAATTACCAACATGTGTGATATGTGGCTAACTTGTTGGTCTAGTTTTCAACCTACCAATCACTTACAATTAAGAATAAAATTTAAATTTACATCTTTAAAGTTCTTAAGAAGATTTTTTATAAAATATTATTTAATTTATTTATTTCTATTTATTTCTATTTAATTTCTTTAATCTAAATAGATATACATTTCTATGGTAGGAGAGAAGAGATTTTATACTTTCTTTAGCTCCTTTTTCATTTTTAGTCTAGTTTCAAGAATTTCAAACTTTGTTAGCTTTGATAATAGCTATTCCTATTTATTCTTAAATATACATATTTTTTAATTTATTTTATATCATCTTTCTTTGATACACATCTCATATGTTTAATTAATTTCTTTAATTACTTATCATTTAAAAATAATTAATTTAAATTATAATTTTATGTCTTCATCTAAAGACAAAAAAGATCTCATACAAAGATTAAAGAAAAATATTAAGATCTTTAGCTTGCAAATTTTTTTGGCATCATAAGACAAGAATAACTGAATATTCTTTTAATGTGACAATACATACTTCAAAGAATAGTCTTTGGTATTGAATAAAAATTACATGTAAGATTTTATTCATTTTCTTATAAAAGTGGATATTTATTACTCAATTAGATAAGTTTAGAATATGTTATCTTCTATTTTATTTATTTATTTTTGATATATACCAAGTTATATGCTCCTTGTAGATTGATTTTTATATAAATCTTAAGTTGATTCAATTGATCAAAAAGTTATGATATCAAAGGTAGAAGATACTTATTCTTGATGGTAATCTTATTGAACTTTTAATAATCTATACACATCTACAATAAGCCATCTTTTTTCTTCACAAATAAGATAGAAACTTATATTGGAAAGTTTGAATGGCATATGAAATTCTTAGCATAGTTCTCATCAATTTACTTCTTAAATTCAACCAATTCATTTTGTGATATATTATAAATTGGTCCAAATTGTAGTTGAACTCTCTCTTCAAGGTCAATTGAGCATTCAAAAAGGCAATGATTTGAAATATTATTTATATATATTTTTTTCAAAAATCTCTTAAAATCTTAATGTTGACTTGAAATACCATTTGAAGTATTTCTACTATTACAAATGGATGTGGCATAAATAACAAAAGGGGATTCTTATTTTGCAACATGTATGAAAGTTCTTGTATCTATAAATAATGGTTTGATTGTACTAAACTTATGACTTTTTACATAATTAACAAAAATCTTAATTATATTTAAAAAAAATTAAGACTATAAGAAACCTAATCTATCTATGGATTATACATTTTTAGCTACAAAAAACCTAAAATAAATAAATTGGAAAGAGATTTAATTATATGAAATATCACAAAATTATTATGATTATTTTTTTTTTACTTCTATGTGAAGGATTTAAAGGTAATATCTCATAAAAATAATAAATAATAATTTATAATTTATAAATATTTAAACTTTACTTACAAAAAAATTCTATGTCTTTTAATAAATCCTTTATCTAAATAAATAGATAATGCTTTTAAATCTGGTATTGTAGCCGTTTTTAAATTTTTAGGTCCTAAAAAAATATCTATTGTAAAACAAGGAAGAGATTTTGAGAAGAGTATATAACCTTTACTAGGTATTATACAAGATTCTAGCTACATGGTTTCCATTATAGGTATAGAAACTTATTTTTCAACATATTGTCTTTTTTGATATCCATACTTCTCATTTTATAACTGTATTTCTTTTTAAAAAAATATTAAATAATATATTTAGATTCTCAATAATATATTTACAATCTATCTTGATTATGAAAATTCTTTTCTTGCTCACTAAGATATTTAAAACATATCATGTTAATTTATATGTCTTCTACTTTTAAATGTATGTATTGAAAAGATAGTAGTGTTGCCACTATATTATAAAAACGTTAAGGCACACTTACACAACTATGAGATTAAAATTTAAAA